AGCCGAGCAGAACAGCAATCCCCCTGCCCTGCCCTGGCATAATCTTGGACAAGCAGCAGGCGCCCATGCACACCGCCAGCCCGGCAACAGCGGTTTTTTCCCGGCCAGGCCACGGCCGGTACTCCAGCCGAGCAGAACAGCAATCCCCCCACCCCAACCCGACACGATCTCGGAGAAGCAACAACCGCCCATGCACACCACGAGCCCAGCAACAACGGCTCTTTCCCGGCCAAGCCGCGGCCGGTACTCCAACCGAGCAGAACAACATTCCCCCCGCCCCACCCCGACACGATCTTGGAGAAGCAGCAGTCGCCCATTAAACCCCCCTACCTGCATTATCCCCTGGTGTGGCAGCCTCATGGCCGGAGCCTGCATTGGAGAAAATAGAGCACGTTAGCAAACGCCCATCCACCCAGCGCCTTCACAAAACAACAATCCTTTTCCAGCCAATCCGCGGCTGGTACTTCAGCCGAGCAGATTAGCAATCCCCCCGCCCCACCCCGACACGATCTCGGAGATGCATTAGCCACCCATACACACCGCGGGCCCGGCAACAGCGGCTTTTTCCCGGCCAGGCCATGGCCGGTACTCCAGCCGAGCAGAACAGCAATCCCCCTGCCCTGCCCTGGCATGATCTCGGACAAGCAGCAGCCGCCCATGCACACCGCTAGCCCGGCAACAACGGCTTTTTCCCGGCCAGGCCATGGCCGGTACTCCAGCCGAGCAGAACAGCAATCCCCCCACCCCAACCCGACACGATCTCGGAGAAGCAACAACCGCCCATGCACACCACGAGCCCAGGAACAATGGCTCTTTCCCGGCCAAGCTGCGGCCGGTACTCCAGCCGAACAGAATAGCATTCCCCCCGCCCCACCCCGACATGATTTTGGAGAAGCAGCAGTTGCCCATTAAACACCCCTACCTACATTATCCCCCGGTGTGGCAGCCTCATGGCTGGAGCCTGCATTGGAGAAAATAGAGCACGTTAGCAAACGCCCATCCACCCAGCGCCTTCACAAAACAACAACCCTTTCCGGCCAAGCCGCGGCCGGTACTTCAGCCGAGCAGAACAACAATCCCCCTGCCCCACCCCGACACGATCTCGGAGATGCATCAGCCACCCATACACACCGCGGGCCCGGCAACAGCGGCTTTTTCCCGGCCAGGCCACGGCCGGTACTCCAGCCGAGCAGAACAGCAATTCCCCCGCCCCACCCCGACACGATCTCGGAGAAGCAACAACCGCCCATGCACACCACGAGCCCGGCAACAGTGTTTTTTTTCCCGGCCAAGCCGTGGCCAGTACTCTAGCCGAGCAGAATAGCAATCCCCCCACCCCACCGACGCCATAACTACCGGCACGGTGCCCGCAGCACTCACCTGAGGGTACCGACGCCATGGGGGCAATTGGCGGCGGGGGGCCCCAATGCAGCACTTCACATACCCCAAGGGCAACACATCACATGCCAGCCAATCGAATGTACTGGGCTTGGGAACGCTTTGGGCGTACATTCTGCCTGCCTGACGGACAACAACGATTTGAAGGGGCACATGGATGTGCCACGGGGGCGACCAGCATGCACTGCCGAATCCATCAAAGACCCAAGCAATCGCACCCCATGTCCGCCATGCATACCCGTTGCGCACTCAGCCAGGCGTCTGGCCGTCCGGTCCGGGAACGGGACCCGCTCTGCGGCTGTTATCCATTACCTTTGCCAAAGTACAGGCCTCTGGGATTGTCCATCTTACAGAATTTCAATGGAACGGCATTGGAATTTCTGTACTGGTGTTCAGCGCGTCTCATAGGTCTGTGTTGCTCGTAAACTTTGATGGAATTCTGTCGACCTCTATGGTCCGGTCAGTGGTTCCGTTATGAGGGGCCTGTCCTCCGTTGACGCCGGCGAGGATTGCGTAACACGTGGTTCCATTCTGGAAGGTTGTGTGGATTTCTGTAGCCATCTATGCTGACGTCAATATGGCCCCGTCAATTTCTGTTAGATAGTTTTTCTCTCTGTGGCCCGCTCACGGATTCCGTTGATTGTACGGAATTTTAACGGAGCCAACCAAATTCTGTTGTGGACGGACAGAAGGGGCCACCTCGGAGACTCTCCGATGGCCAAAGTAGGGAACAACCAACGGTGCTGAGGCCCCCCAAAATGCAATGCTCGATGCGAGCAATTCACCATGAAGGGCGCGGTAGGTGCAAGGCCTTCAACAACTGGGCGAGCTTCATCACAAAGTGCCATATTGTGCGCCCACGGCGACCCGGCAGCAACTTCCTCAGACGTTGATTAGCCCATACACATGGCGGTCTCTGTCACAACCCTGAAGGGCGCTGCTGGTTTCCATAGCTTGTGGGGTCGCCACCCCCTACAGCTCGGCTGGTGATGGTGTAGCCGGCCCTCTCCACCACAAATGGTGGGCGGTAATAGGGCGCTAGTTCCCTCAGATGCGCGGTGGGCACAGATGCAAAGGGGATCATTCCCCAAGGCCTGTTGTATGCGGCAAGTGGTGGCGCAGCTAGGTGGTGGCTCGGCGGTCGCGGAGAGACCAGGCAGTGGGCCAAGAGTCGATTACATGGGTGACCTGCATGCACCTGTTTCAGGACTCGCATGCATGCGATGCCCGATCGCGGGTCCCTCGCAGTCACCTTAAGACAGGATAACGTACAACAATAGGTAATATATTGTAGTGTATTATGCGCACGTGTCCCTGCCCACCATTCACATAAATCAACCCTCTTTCATCCCCAATACTATCGACCTACTAGTCCATATCCCATGCTAAAGAACTACAAATTCAAATGGCCATAACTTTGCCGCTTCTACACAGAATCGGATGTTTCATAAGCCAATTTTAGGGTATTTGCACTTTTTGACCAATTCTAGCTTTAGAAATACCATTTTTAGCCTGCCCCCAAGTAAAATCACCACAACCTCTGCCCCTCTAGGGATCCCCTCCCCTCACAACACGCCGGCATCGAGCCACCCTCCCTGGTTCACACCTATCCCCCGAACTTTCCCCTACCCACACCTCCGCCCACTTTTCCCACCACAAAAATGAAGACACACCAAGGACGCTTGGCGCCACATGCAGTTGACCGCCTCAGTTGGTCTGCCTGTGCCTGGCCTCACATCGTGCGGGACCCCATCTGCCAACCGGCGGGCTCGCCGAGGATCTCCTTCATTGTGAATCGGCCCGGCGGTGCGTGGTGGTGGCCCCATCCGCCCAACCCGCCAAAGACTAGCCCGAGCTGCTCAGCGGGGATGCCGGGTTTGTGCCGTAAGCGTTGCATCACGTGCGCCGCGCAGCCTGTGAGATCGCATACCACCCACCAGGAAAGGGGCAAAAGATGCCCCGGGGGGTGGCAACGCGGGTCAGTTTGAGCCCTCGGGTGGGCGATGAGGCAAACCAAAGGTTTTGGGGAAAAAATTTAGGCGTTCGGGGAGGAAAATGGGGGTTGTGAGGGGACTCCCCTCAAGGGAGGATGTGGGGGGATGAGCTGAGAGGGGGGGTGGGGTGGGCAAACCCTGGGTGGGCAAACTGCATGGGGCTGTGCCTGGGCAGGCGCGGGGTGGCCCACCCCGGTTGGGGCGTGTTGCCTGTGTCATACCCGGGGTCGTTTGTATTGAGTTGCAGACGCCTCCGGCCATTCGGTTATGACCATGTCAATCCCGCATCCTGAAGAACGGCACCAATACGCAAGAGGGGAGAGGTTCCGGCGGCGTAGCCCATCGGCTGCCTATTTGCCCCACCGATCCAACCCCCATCCCACCCAACGATCGTCGAAACCAAGCCCAGCGAACCACCGCGATTGGGGCTGCCGATCGGTGGGTGGGGTGGAGTGCCACCCGGGGGGGAGTGGTGTTTTTGATGGCGTGGCAGCCTGAGGGCATGGCGCTTGGCCAATTGTCCAACCGGCGTCTTGTTGGCCACCGGCTTGTGGTGATCTTGTGCATGCAACATACCAATGGAGGGTTCTGGGAACCCATTTCTAGGGACGGGGTGTGAGGCAGGGTCCTCGCCCTACCCAGAACTCCCCTAATTGGTCGCTCAGCGTTGGCCAATGACGTAGGCATTCGCGGTTGCGCGTGGGTGGTGACCATATACGTGCCAAGCGTACCTGGCCATTATGCGGGCGCCGCCAACATAAATGCATAAATGCGAAAGGTCGGGTCGGATTTAACGTATGCCAGTGGCAACAGTTCCACACATTACTTTAAGTATTGCAATATCGCAATTGCGCAGCGGGTCGTTGCTGCCGCTGGGGCCGCCCATACATTGTTCTCAATACATAGCGATGGGCGGTCGGGTTTCTGTCACCCCAGCGCCAGTTTCTGTCCCGGCGACTGTGCCGCCAAAGTTCGAACCCTGACCCTGGCCCCAAGATCCGCTGGCAGCCACCTGCCGGTTGCCAAAGCGGCCTTCTCCTCGCGCAGAGGAGACGAGGAAGGGGAGTCGTGCAAGCGGCGGAGGTTGGCGGCATGCAAAGCGGGACGAGGATCCCAAAGCCCTCCAGAGGGGGATGGGCGCCGGCGGTCTCAGAGGGCAGACAGGTCCGCCACGCCCACATCCTGTGCGCAGCAGGGGGCACAGCAGAGTGCGCTGTGGCGCAGAGGCCCCTTGTGCGCCGTCTGGGGATCACCATCGACCCCGTGTTTCGCCCGCTGTCGGTGGGGCGCACACTCCGCGCATCCACAGGACCTGTAGCCGCGGTTGGAGAAATTTGGGTCTGCGGGCCAGGCGCTGCCTGGACGCCATCGGTGGGCGCCTTGAGCCAATCCGTACCTGGAATCGATTTTCAGGCCTCGAAATAGCATCCCTTCCTGCACGTTCTGGCGCGGTTGCCCCCGACACCGTGACGTGCCGATGCTGGAAGCCCCGCGCTCGCCAGTTGCAGTCGCAGCAGTGCAGTGTTGCTCCCCGCCATTCATGGTTTCAGGTCGTGCAGAGAAGCACTGAGCGGCGGCGGTGCTGAAGCTCTCGCGGCTATCGCTCAGGCTGGACGCGATCGGACGAACGAATGGAACAACGGCCGCAAGATGGAACAGCCGGCGCTGGCCGACGCTGAGGGTGGCGCCTTGAAGGCACGGCAGACTCGAGCGCAGTCACGCCTCCAGAAGCCCTCACTCCCAGAGGCGGTCCTGCGGGGCTCCAGGAAGCGCAAGGACGTGGGCGATGGCTGTCCAGGACCGCAGGCCAAGAGGCAGCCCTCGGCACAGAAGAACGCACCACCGCCACCAGCCGAAGAGACCTTCGAGGAGCTGCATGAGAGGACCGGCAAGTCGGAGCTGGACATACTGAGCGAGAAGCTCAAGTTCAACAAGGGCGCCAGCGCGCCCAAGAAAATGGAACTGATGAAGAACTGCATCAAGGACCTGCGGACGGTGGGGCACTCTCTATTGGAGAGGAAGGACAAGTTCGAGGCGGAGGCGTCATACCAGGCGGCGCGCGTGGAGGAGCTGCGCGCCGTCTGGGAGGGAGAGAAGGCGATGCGCGACAAGAGGATAGAGGGCCTCGAGGAGGAGCTGCAGGGCGCCAAGGCGAGCCTGTCTGACACGAAGGACTGCTTGTCTCGCGTCCAGGATGAGCTGAGGGACCTGCACCAGACATCTGGGCAGCAGATATCTTCCCTCGACGAGGCCCTGCGCGCCTCCAAACACGAGCTCGCCTTCTGTGAGAAAAGTCTGAGCGAAAGGACTGCCAAGGTACGCCCCGCAGTGCACCTCGCGGCAGGCCAATTGACCCTGGTGCCTGCTTCTGACAGGACTTGTGTCACTGTGCCAAGGTGGAGGAGCTGGAAGAGAGCAGCAGGACGGCGCAGAATTACAGCACATCTCTGCAGAACTACAACCAAGGCCTTCAGCGCCAACTGAGCGAGCAGAAGGAAGCCTGTCAGGCTCTGGTGGTGCGTAGTTCACCCGCTGCGCGCCTCGCCAGGTGCAGGCCTCCGTCCTGCGCGCCCTGTCGCCCATGAGCTTTCACCTCTCGTTTCTGCACGCTTGCAGGACGAAAATCGCGGCCTGAAGGAGCAAGTCATGTTGCTGAGCGGCTCCACAACCCAGCTGGAGCAGAAAGTCGAGGCTGTCAAGGTGCGATGGCGACAGACTGGCGCCCCACGAGATGACGAGACGCCCTTTCTCACTTGGGGGCTGTTTCCCAATGGTATGCTGGTCACAGCCTGACACAGTGCCTTGTGTTGAGCAGAGCGTGGCAGAGACAAAGGTGCAGCTGCTCCAGGGAGACAGCAGCCAGGCCAAATCGGAGCTGGCCAGGTTGTCCAAGGAGTTGCACAGCGTCGCGTTGGCCAGGGACCAATGGCAGCGGGATTGCGAGAAATGGAAGGCACAGGCAGACATGTACGCCCACGCTCTCAGAAGCCATTCATCGACCTGATCTTGCCTGCGCATTGCTGCGTCCTGGTCACGCTGGAAGGCCAGTTGGCCATGTTGCCTGGGCACAATGGATCTACAAGTCTGAGCTGCCCGTTCGTGAATGCCCCCAGGTACCAGGAAAAGACTGGGAAGAGCCTTGAGGAGATGCAGAACATGGAAACACGGAGGATGGCTTTGGAAGGCATGTGCTCTGACCAGGTAAGACCCCTGCCAGCAACCAAGCTGCGTGCATTGCTCACTTGTGAATGTGCTGAAGGAAGGATGCCATTCAAGACAATCGTCCAAGATGTTCATGGTGGCAGTAGGGGGATGCACAGGACCTATGGGGTAACACAATTTGACAGAGGCAGCTGTGTGGCGCAGGATGAGATAATGGAGAGGCTGAGGCGCGAAACAGCGATTGCTGTAGAGCAGAAGAGGCTTGCAGAAGAGTTAGCCTCAAGGAGGGGCGATGAGAATGTCGAGCTCAAGGTAATGCTGCGGTGGCAGCAGTACCATCGCTCACTCTCCATCGAGGCAAATGAGTTTTAAGAGGTTTCCTTCTGTTTCCATGGCTGTGGCCAGACTGTCCTGTAGATGTGAGGCTGTCAGATGGGCTGTTGTGCTGGGGACTTGCCAGGCTTCTGGGCGCAATCGCTTTGGTGGGGGGGTGACTCTGGGCCATGGTCTTCTCTGCAGAGGAAAGTTGAGAGCCTGGAGGCTCTGGTGGTGGAGAAAGAGACTCAGATGAAGGAGGGTGAAGAGATCCGCAAGCGACTGCACAACACCATCATGGAGCTGAAAGGCAACATCAGGGTATTTTGCAGAGTCCGACCGGTTGGAGACGGCGAGTGTGGAACAGCTCCAAAGACTGCCACGCCATTGGTGGAGTACCCCTCACAAGGTGGGTACACAGTGCTCTTCTGGCAGTGCTTTGCAAGCGGTCAGTCAGCACTTCCAAGTCTCTTGCACATGTCGTTGCTTTGTGGCATTCTACAGTTGTACCCCATGCCCCAGTGCTGACTTGTGCGATTTCACCGGTGTGTTGATGCAGGCGACCAGAAGGACAGGGCGATCAAGGTGCTGGCGCCCAGTGGCTCGTCTGGAATGTCATCAGAGTTCCAGCCGTTCGAGTTCACGTTCGACAGAGTATTTCCAGCCCAGAGCACACAGGAGGACGTGTTTGACGAGATATCCCAGCTTGTCCAGAGCGCCCTTGATGGGTACAAGGTGTGTGACTGCGTGTCAGGATCAGACCAATTGAGGGCTTCCTGCTCAGCAAGGATTCCCTGATGGCTTGGATATCCTGCTCAAAGCTTGGGTTGTTGTGCACTGTGGGAAAGGATGGATCAGCCACTGTCTTGGTGTGCCCATAGGTCTGCATATTTGCATATGGCCAAACAGGCAGCGGCAAGACGTACACGATGTTGGGCAACAATGAGAACAACGGTGTGATCCCACGAGTGATGCAGCAGGTCTTCCAGACCAGCAACGAGCTGCGAGAGCAGGGCTGGAACTTCCGCATGCGGGTAAGATGCCAAACCCATTCGAGTGCTGCACAGCCACGAACCGATCTGCAGTGCTGCTTTGGGTCATGGATGTTCATTGGTCCGTGTGAGTTGTACAGGCGAGCATATTAGAGGTCTACAACGAGGAATACAAAGACCTGCTGGGGAAGCACTTGGCGGCCAACGAGAAGCATAAAGTGCACCATGATGCCCACGGAAACACTACAGTGAGCGGCCTGACGACGGTGGACGTCAGCAAGCCCGAAAATGCGGCAGAACTCCTGAGGAGGGCGATGGAGAAACGGGCCGTCGGGGCAACCAAGATGAACGACAACTCGTCAAGGAGCCACATGGTTTTCACCCTGAAGCTGGATGGCAGCAACGAGGGCACCCAACAGCATGTGCAAGGTGTGCCACAGGCTGGGCCTGGTCTATCTTGAGGAGCCCAGTGGCTCCATGTTTATTGATCAACCAATGTGCTGTGCGTGCTGCGTAGGTGTCCTCAATCTCATCGACCTCGCGGGCAGCGAGCGAGTCAAGGCTTCAGGCTCGCAGGGCGACAGGCTCAAGGAGGCCCAGAACATCAACAAGAGCCTGAGCGCGTTGGGTGAGCATCGGGCAATTCCGTGTTCCATACCTCCCACCCTTACCGTTGCCTGTGCATGCTGTTCGTACCCAGTCTCGACTGATTTTGCTGTGTTGCTGGCAGGTGACGTGATAATGGCACTGGGGACCAAGAATGAGCACGTGCCTTACAGGAACTCCAAGCTGACATGGCTGCTGCAGAACTCGCTCAGCGGCGCCTCCAAGGTCCTAATGTTTGTCAACATCTCGCCTGCGCAGGAGTCAGCAAACGAGTCATTGTGTTCTTTGCGATTTGCCGCCAAAGTGAACGCTTGCGAAATTGGGGTGGCCAGGAGGACGGTGAAGACAGACCCAAAAGACAGCCAGCCAACGCGGTCTCCACGGTCAAGATGAGCACAACTCGCACATCTTTCTTCCTGTGGGCCTTCTGGGGCTGGTTTCTATACCAGTTGGGGCAATGCTCTGGCATTAGGGAGCAGGACAAGTTGTCTGGCTCACAATATTAATGGTCGATAGAAGGCACGAATGTGGGTCTTCTTCGCCAGCGATTGGCCGTTGACTTGATGTTAACATTATATCACACTCCGAAATAGTGGAGTGCAAAGTGCCATGGCGGCTTGCGTTGTGCTGCCAAGTCACGAATGGAATATTTGACACGCAATGTGGGTTTGGTGGATTTTATAGGTAAAAAATGACGCTCAGAAAGGCAAGGCAGCGTGTTAAGAGGGAAATGAGGGGTGTCCCCTCCATTGCAAGTTGTTCCCCTTTCCCCCTTCCTCCCCTTTATCGTCAATTCTTATGTCGATGCCATGATGACTCAGCAACATTACATAACGGAGCTAGACAATTTGAAGGTGTTGTTGAGAAACATAAATAGCAAGAATTGCAAAGATTATAATGCGCTGAAGAACGGAATGACAAAGACCACTGCGGATGATTGGGGCAGCCTTGATGGCTGGCTATTGTGGTATTCTGGGCCGTTCTTTGAAGGGTGAACACTGTGGGGAGGCTTATGAACAACTCAAAGAGTTGTTTGCCGCTCAGCAGCAGCACTTTTCGACATCCTCGCACCTTATGTCGGTTTTGTTGCAATTACATAATCTCTTAGTCTCACAAGTCCGGACTCCCACCCCTCAGCGTCAAATTGACGCTATGCGTAACAAAATTGACATAGTGCCTTCCCTTATGCCAGCGTAGCACAGTACTGATTGAGAATTGTGTGAGACGACGTATCTGGTGTATTCACAACAAGATGCTTCTCGCTCACTGACTGGTCGCCCATGAGCGATTTAGATGGGGGCGATCAAAAGTGCCTCATGTGATACAGATGGAGTGCACAGGACCCCAGATGTCCAGGAGCCAATACCCATCCCATAAGTTCTGGGATCAACGCAGGCACACTTAGGTTGTGTGATGCACTTGCACGGGCCCATCATGTGAAACCCAGCTGGGAATTTTACTTAGTACACGCCTGATTTTGTTGGCTTTATCTGCTGCATTTGACCACCGGATGATACAGTCGTAGCCACGCCAGCGATGTCCCTCAGAACTTGACTTGTGCACTCGTTTGCCGTCGATTGCCCTGGGGCGGTACAGATTCCAAGCTGCCACATGCTCCCACAGATCTGGGCTTTGTTGCCCCATGATGACATCCTCAACACCATCTTTCTTTTCCTTCCGGTTCTGTATTTGTGTCCAAGGCCAAACGCGGTTGCTGTCCTAAGTTTGGGCCCCAACTGTCGTTTGCTGCTTAGGTCTGCGGCTATTGCAAGCTGCCCTGTTGCCGCAGCTCTGCCAGAGCCGCTCACGAGTTGGCGCCGTTTCTCCCGCTGGTCCGTCGACGCCTCCGCCGTCTGGTGTGGCCATGCAAGCGTGGGCGGTGCTTCAGCGGCGGGCTGCCGACGCCCCCCTTGCACGTCCAGCACAGGATTTCAGCCATATCTTCATTACATTGTGTCTGGCGCTTTGGCAGACTGGAAGGCTGCCAGTGCGTCCAGTGCTGCACATAACATACAACGAAAACATTCTCCTCTCCCCCGACCCACCAGTAGCCCCCACAGCACACACTTTATTCCATCCACACTCTTACAGGCCTTCAACATGTTTTACATCAGTCGTGCAACGAGATTCTGTCCGTCTTCCGGGACCCCCTGGCTCCGCCCCAGAAAACGTCGATTGACAATTCTTTCCCTAGGACTACCATTACCACAACGTCAGATTATTCTGTCTACAGTCAGGGACGGTCCAAAGAAAAAGCGCTGGTGCGTGTTGGAATCTCGGATGCACAAAATCGCCCCTTCCTCTGAGGAGGAATGCGGACACAATGTTTGTACACGGGGGCTTGCTGAATAAATATCGTCAGAGTGGCAGGGCAACACACGGAGACCACGCCTCCCCAGCAGAATGCATCGAATATGTTGCGTCTTATCTACCAAACTCGTTTCCCAGATCCACTAAAGGTTCCCATCGTAGCGCCCCTAGCCACTTGGAACACACGACACATACACAACGAGGTATGCAGCACCAGCACAAATGGAGGAAGCGCACATCGCCATGCTCTCCAGTCTTGGGTCTTGCACCAACAGCCAAGAACCTCGAAGCACGTTCTGGCATAACCACAGCCCAAAGACGCCGATACAAAACCAACCAGAATGACAACCAGGGCGTGGCCAGGGCGTCATCACACCATCGGCTCTGAGCCCAGCCACATCAACCTACTCCACTTCTGAACCACATCCGCTCAGGCGAATCCCCACAGCGCCTACCCCCTCCATGCTCCTGCTGCTACTCATCCACATCATCATCATCCTCTCTGCCATTTACACTGCCATGGAATGCAGAGCTGCAGCCCTCTTGAAGTCATCCATCCAGAATAATCGGGCCATGATCATCCAGACCCTCCAAGTGTTGCACCTCCATGGTGCCCCTCGGCATGGGCCAAATGCGCCTGTCCTCCTTGCAGGCTGCATTTCTCTTAACTGCCACCAGCTAGACCCAAGGCAGATGCTACTGACAACGCCTTGCACTGCACTGGTGAACTCGCTACGCCCCCCTGCCAAGGATACGGGCAACGTTCCCTAGAGCCCACATGTGCTCCTATGGGTCATTCACCACCACCAGCACAAGGCTTTCCAGGTGGGTGCCAGTCCATGTCGGTTCCATTCCATGCTGATAGCCACCACCTTCCAACATCATTCAAAAAGCAATCGTAGATACAAAGCAAAACTCGTTCTTTTCTCAAGGAATTGAATAACCGTGCACAACATGGCAAATTCCATGCAGTGGTTGACTTCAAAGGTCGAAGTCGTCAGAGTCCATCGTCCTACCAGAGGCTTCGCTGGGCGCTTCGGTGAAGGTGAAGTCCTTGTTGCGCAAGCACCATTGCTCCAACAACTCAAGGTCGCCACCCAAGTTCTCAAACACCTGCAGTTGCCTGCGGAATCCCTCATTGGGCTGAGTACAGCTCCGTGCGCCCTCGACTAAACTGTATGCTGCCCCAAGGCTCAAATTCAGCTTCCATATCAAGTATCCAATGCACACGGTCGCCGATCGAGAAATTCCAGCAAAGCAATGCACTAGGACGCCACCTGGGGAGGTTACACACAAACTACTTTAGTTCGTGTTTGACGTGCTACCTGTTGTGTTTATTTGCTGTGTTTGTGAGCAGACATGGATTCGCTTCGTAACATCTATGGCTGCCTATTCCCTATGCCTAGGGAGCTTGTTGCACAGAGGGTGCGCACAACCACAACGTCACATTCAAGTTGTGGTGCACAAACAGTGACATTTCTACCTGGTGGACAGTGTGCTACTTGACAAGGTCATATTCTGCCACGACGAACAAAACAGCGACGAATTCTGCTTTTCTTTCTACAGACACCCCTGGACAGCATATTTGTGGTTTGCATGAATGCTTGTGTCTTACTACTTAATTCTTGCCGTTGGTTTCCCTCAAGCTTTGCAAAGCGGGCCAGGGCACAACAGCTGAAGGCCCCTGCTGTGCAGCTAGTCGATGTTTCATGGCACAACATCCAAAACGCACTGGATCACAGACAGGTTATGCCACACATGGCAACGAAAGAACGGGCACAACTGGAGCTCTGAAGACAAAGTGCAAGTCTTCAAATTCAGGAGAGAATATTCCATCAGTTCATTCCACAACCAAGGCACAGACACAACTCCTGGGTCCCAGGACATGTGGACCAGACTTCCATTGTACCCACCGGGAATCACAAAGAGTAGAGGGGAAAGCTAACAGAATGACAAAACGGCCAAAATGACAAAACTCACACAAGGAAACATACCTCCAGACTTCCTTGCACTATCAATGAATTCGAAGCACTCATTGAAGTGCAGCAGCAGATGTGCAGATTCGACGTCTGAGACACTGATGGTATGGTATTTGAATACACCCTCGTAGCTGCGGGCCAGGTTATCACCGACCTGCAAGTCACCACAACACCGAATGAGTGCTGTCCCGCAAATACAAGCTTTCTGCTGAAAATAAAGCACACGCAAAGCTCTTGGGTCCCATCTTTGTAACAAAAGCATGGTGAGGATATCACTTTGAAACAACTCAGGTCAAATGGATGATCCCTGAAGAACCCAGAAATTCTGGGAATGAAACCACATTGTGTTTGCCTTTGGGCACCCATACTTTTTGGCTGTCTTCATGTTGGCAACTTTCCATAACTTTCTTGAAAATTTGATTCTGACTCACTGGAAGGTCATTCTCAGTGAACTTTTCTGCAAGGGACTCGATGAGCATCTCATGAGGGGCCTTGTTATGCATTCTTCCCTCCAGTCAAGCATCGAATCACAACTACTTCGTTAACTACTATGGCGTTATCTTGCTTGCTCCCCATCGCCTGACTCCATTCTTCTCAAGTGTGGTCGCTTTCTCTTCTTGTAACAAAATCCAGACACTAGCATTTCCCAAACGCAACATGCACCTGGCAGCTGCAGCGTGAACAGCAACACGAGTTCCGTCGAGTTCCACCACAACACACAACAGCTATTCCAGCACTGCTGTGGCAGCAACAGACCTGCAGAATATGCGTGATCCCCTTCTTCTCGAGTTCCACCCTGTTCTGCTCCGCAAGAAAAGCTCCAATGAACAGGCCCGGTTGCACCATCGCAGCAACATCATCGAAGGTGTTGATGACAGTGGGCTTGCGATCAAAATCGTCCCAGTTGTCATCAGAGCCAATGGTGCTGAGGGTGTCCAGAGCCGTTCTTTGCCGGCCACCAGAGGTTGCAGTGGTGCTCCTCTCCTCAGCCAGCGCTTCGCTCTCGCTCAGTGACCCTATGCTGTCCAGGGGATCGGCATGTTCAATCTCTTGGGGCAGAGGGCTTCTTCCTTTTGATTCCGCTTTCGTCTTGGAGTTCTGCCTAGGAATGCTGCTCGTCTGTGCCAGTGACCCAGACTGGCTTTGTGGATGTGGAGGTGGCCTGCCAGTCCTTGGCCCACGGGCTGACTCCAGCGGGGTGACTACATCCCTTGGTATGCTCTGGTCGTACACCAACCTGTTCACACAGCACCGATGAATGAGCCCACAATACACCACAGTCTTCCTCGGCGCGATGCAAACAAAAAGTTCACACGAGACCAGGCCAGGGCCCCCGCTGCCTTCACCACTCGCGCCCCACCAGCAGACCCAGCTGTGCCGCCGATCATGGCCATCATGGCACATCGGACACCCGCAAGCCCCACGCATCGAGTTCGCCGACAAGCGATCCACAGGTTGTTCGAAGGTATCTCGTCCCAGCGTCGCCGTCGCACATTGGACCGCCCGGGAGAGCCGATGAGGCATGCGTTGCCGCAGACACGCCAGCCACAGCGCGCGTCCTTACGCGCGTTCTCAGAAAGCCCAACAAACGATGCGAAATGAAATTGGAGAGCGATGGCGAGCGGTACGTCCCCCGCAGGTGCGCTCGCGCTGGGGAACCACCCCGCGCTTTCCCGGGCACTGTGCAGTCAAACATTTATTTAACTTTCTCCCTTCCTTCAGAGCGCTCCCGCGCGACTGTGTGCACGCTGCGAACGCCCACACGCCCTGCCCCGGGTTGTCATATGGGGGGTGCTTCGGGCACCCATGTCCGATTACGGAAGACCGCAACAACCGGCGATGCGCGCCACGAACGACGAAAAACGACGAGGCCCCTCCGTTCACGCCCACCGCGTCACCCGCCGCCCTCCTCCCCGCCGGATCCATGCCAAGACAGTGCGTCACAGGAGGCACTACACCGGGCCCCGAGACGGGACATCCTCCCGCCAGAGCGCGGCTCTGCCAAGCAGCCCCCGTCCAAATCCGCAGCCACAAAATCGCCCCACACGTGCGGTCCTCCCCCCGTTGCCCTATCGACGGCCCCCCGCCCCGCCCCCCGCCCCCCGGCCCCTGGGCCCACCCGCCAGCGCTCGCCCACCGCCCCCACTCACCATGTCGAGAATCTCTCCCTCTGGAAGAGGTCGCTGATGAGCCCCCTGGCGTTCTTAATCGCCTTCCGCACGCGCTTGGTCCCCTTCCTCGGCGTGGCCTCCCCCTTGGTCTTGAGGCTGGCCTGCGACACCAATCTGTCGCGATCGCTCATGCTCATTGCGAGCCACCCGGGCCCGCCACCGCCCTCCCGGATTGGGCTCCGTCCTCAGCGCCAGCCCCGCCAGCCGCGGCGCCCGTCGAACAGCGGCCCTCCCCGCGCGGGGCGATCCACAGATGGGGGCACAGGCCCGATGCCGGGGGCCCTCCTACGTCGCCTCAACGCCAAGGGCAGCGGTGCCGAAAGCCGCCCCCGGGACCGGCCAGCGTTACTCAGTGCGCTCCGGCGGCCGGGATCTAGGCTCGACACCTCGGGGGTGGCCTGAGATCCCCGCGGGATGCCGATACTGCCGTCGCGGCCCCTCTCGCCACGCGACTGGCCGGGCGGCAAGTCCGACACTGGGGATGGCGTCGGCGGTGTCGCGCGGGGGGGCGCCCCCGGTGTGATGCGGCCTCACGGCCGGCCAGTGCGCTGCACAGGCGGGCGGTGCGCTGCGTGGGGGGCGGGCCGGCCGCGCCGCGCCGAGAGGGAAATGGGGCGGGAGGGCATCCGAGCGGGGGACGGACGGCGCGTGGGACTCTCAGCGCAGGGCCGCGCTGCCCCCGGCCTAAATGTGCTGAGCATCAAAATGCAGGCACGCGCGGCCACAGCCTGGGCGGCGTGGCGTATGCCAGTCTGACGCGGCAGGCGGCGGACCAGGACCCCGTGCTCGGCGGGTGTCGGGCGTTGGCCGGCCCGCGCGCCCGCCCGTAGTGGGTTTACTGGGGCAGGGTATTCGGCGAGTTGCGCGCGGCGGCGGTCGTGTCTGCGGACTTGCCGCCGGGGGGGGGTCATCGTCAAGGGAACCTTCGAATGTTCTGCCCGCGCCGCGCCTGCCTCCAAGCGAGCATCAACAACGACGCGGTCGACGCACAGCGTGCGTGTGGGATTTTTTGCGACAATCGAATTGGAAGGTGAGCCCAGGCACAGCGCCCGTTTTCAGTCGTCGCTCAAGATCATACAATGGCTCAGCCTCGACTCCAGCGTCCCGGTGGCTGTGCACAATGGCCGCCTGCATGTGCAGCAGCGGCGGTGAGAATGGGCGTCTGCTGGTGCCTCAGCAGTGCCGGAAATCTTGCATTCCACCTCCGTTATCAGATTGTTGTAGCAGGTGGCCTTCTGCGTGATTCCTTTCTGCGTTCTTCTGTGTTGTCAAGGCGGAGCAGTCTGGAGTTGGGGTTTGGAACGATTGTGAGGCAGGCCTGGAGTTTCCGAAGGACAATCCTGGCGGCCGTCGTTTTGCCCGGACTGGATGACAATAATACCATTCTAATAGCGTGACTGCAAAAGCGACAAACAAATCCAACTGCGCACCATTGATGAAGCGCCACCTGTTTGTGAATTCGGAGGCCGGTGCCCAGCTAGCTGGCAAAAAGCAGTGCCCTAGACGGAATTGCGTCGTCCGGGAGTCGAACCCGGGTCTATTGCTTGGAAGGCAATTATCCTAACCGTTGGACTAACGACGCTTGCCGTTCCCACGAATAATATTAAAAATATAAACGCAATACAATTGTAAAACCCGTCCTAGTAAACCCCGTTCGTCCACTCGAGTGTTCCTTTTACAACACCCCAACCAGTAGGGCCCCCACCAGAGCAGGTTGATTCTTCTGAATACGACAACTGTTGTGTCACTCGATTTCATTGATCAATCAACAACCCAACAGCATATTCCACCCTACACAGCCCGCCAGGCCTCCACTGCTGCGCGGCAAGCCCGTCCAGTCCCCGAGCGCCCGGCACAGCTTTCTGGCACCTTGCGGGGTTGTCCGGCGGGGCCAGGGCGGCACCGCAGTGGCGACATCGCTGCCGGTGGCAGGCACGATGTTGCTAGGGCGAAACTGTGCCTGGCTTGCATCCTGGTTGTCTTGGGAGGGAATCGCCCGCGTCAAATCCAGGATCAAAATGCAAGCCCCGCCGTGCGAGTGACTTCCAGCTGTGTCGAACTGTTCCAAAGGGGTGCCAAGGAGGAATTTTCGGCGGCACGGGGTCTGTGTTTGTTGGTCCCAAAGTGCTTTGTGGCGGCAGCAGTGCCGTCTCAGGCGTAGCTGTGCCGGAAACCTCAAGCGCTTAAGCGCTTTGAATTTGACCCCCTTTCCTTGCTGCTCGGCTAAGCTGCAGATTGGCAGGGCAGAAATCTGGGAGCAAGTGGCCTGAGCGCATTGCCTGGCAACGCTTTTGCATCTGGTGGTCTGGGAAACGATAGCGCTTGCATGGTGCCTTCCAAACGTTCAGGCACATATGAATTCACGAAGATTTGCATGGTGCCATGCCCCCAAAATGGTGTGCTGTGGTACTTTACTTCACACCCCGTAGCCTTGTCAAATTTGGGTCTGATGCTGCAGATTCTATTCTGGTGTTATTTGCACTGTAGTAATTGCAGCAAGGGCTAGGAAGCCTGTGGGTATCTGCGGGATTGCTCTGAAGCCCAGTAGATTGTTCAATGTTGTGCACCAGATAAGGTAGGGATAGCACTGTATGTGCTCCGCAAAGCAGCTGCAAGGCATGACTGTTGGAAGCCTGGCCTCTTCACAGTCCTGAAGTCCTGGAGTGTGCAGTGTCTGTAGTACTCTAGATCTCTGGAAATGCGGCCTGACGACCAGCTTAGCATGTGCTGTGGTGTTGCTGTGCACATGGTGCTCTGCCATCTGCAGTGGTGCTGCATCTTTACCGACTCTTGAGGCTCCACTTTGGTTGTGGTAGGATTTTGTGGTGAGGACAATCTGGCACTGGGATGCATTTCCCCAGCAAGTGGATGCGAACACTGACAGCTCCACATCACCACCCAAGGTCCAAGGGGATCTCTCGAGCCCGTAGTCCCAACAACAACCTCAACGGGCTGACGAGCACATGCCCTGCAGTGTGCCAATCCACGCACCAGAGTCCAAATCCTGTCAAAGCCACTTGCACTTCACACCCAGTACACCTGTGTCGTGCAATGGTCGCGTGAATTCACTGGTGTGTGGCCCTCGTGCGCCTCCTATACCAACTTCTCAGGTCATCGTGTCACAAGGATCGCCCTAATAGAGGAACGGAATCATCCTCCACCGCTTGGGATACAATGGACGACTCTCTTTCCCATCAAACATCTGCACGAACAGTTGCCAACAACAGTGAGCAATGGTTGTGCTCCAATAAGCATCAGCTAAACCTGAAACAGCTGCAGCTGAATGCACACCCCACAACGCAAGTGGCACCACAAACCCTGCAGATGGTATTGTAAGCAGCATTTCTTCATGCTGGTACACAAGCACATCTCAAAATGAATGGCAAAACAGGTGGCTTGACACAGCCATCACTGCGACACACATGAACACACTCACAAACGGGCTGTGCACAGGGACATCCAGCAACACACAAGACAAACAGACGCACCTTCACAAGCCTCCTGTGCTTGTCGCCCGCCCACTGTGCCATCTGCAGACCTCCAACGGTGGCAAACAGAAAAGCTGCCACTGTCTTTGTTGCGAATCCGAATAGTACCCAGGCCAGTGTTTCGCATGTGTAATTGGCGCAGGTGATGTATTCAAACAAAAAGCCATGGGGAACCTTGTAGCCTTTTTCGCCGGGCTTTCTCAAGTTCTTCTGGAGTATGTGGCAGTACAGGTTGGACACCTGACAGACCACTGCACCACCCAAAAGTAGCGAAGCTGCTGTAACATCTGGCGGGGTGTACAGCGGGTGGTTAACGAAGTAGGATACCATGGCAGCGAATCCCCAATAGTAGCTGCAGTTCTTGAACAGGTTGAACAGCGGCATAGTCCCCTTGCTGAACCTGTGAAGGCATTGCATTGCATCAAAATCAAATCTTAAGCATCCTGCAACTCTGCCACAATCGAACACCTCCCAGACTGGCAAGGACATTACTTCAAGGCAATGCCACCCTACCTGTGGACAAAGAATGTCTCCAGGATGCGCTTTGCATAGTGTGCAGTCCAGAATGCCAGTGCCATGGTCTGTACAATGCTGTGCACCACTGGTTCTCTGGACAGCCAGAAAACAGTGTCAGTCACAGGCCCTGTACACAGTCAAGCCAACCACAAAGCTCTCCTTGCACATGCTTTGCATACAATGGGGTACAAATCTGACTGCCTTTCAATTAATCCCTCTCAACTCCGTGACCCCATAACATCAGCGTTTTGCTTTGGGGTGATGATTTCCATTAACCATATCCAACAGCTGGTGGGTGTGGCAGCCTTTGCACTGAATGGCACTGCAAGACAGATGCGAGGATGGAACACATCTGCAGATTGCATGTGCTACAAGGAAAGATCGCAGACGGGTATTCCACACAAGTCCATTCGAATGGATGGCATGCCTGCTTCGCATTCATAAGTCAGCACGCCCTGTAATGCAGTTGGCGTAAGTGCACCGATAAGAAACGTGTTGACATCAGAGCATGATGTCGTTCAATTGGCACCTCTTCTACAAGGCAGGTGTGTTGAGACTCTCTTCCATAGTGTGCTAAGCCGAGAGTCCATGATCGTTGGGAACACGAAATCATCGATTTGCAACCCGGGTCCTGTCCCCATAATAGTCCAAAAGAAATGGCCCTGGCCCGCAGCAACGTCCCCCAGCAGCTCTATATTCCAGGTTTGCCTGGGGGCACGTCGCCAAATTGAGCAGCCAACAAAACAATGGTGCCCGACTTCGGGCCAACGCAGGCTTGGCGCGAGCGCGTCACCTGTGGAAGGGATAGAGTAACTTTGGAAAGAAGTAGAAGAGCGGATAAACTGCCAGCGGACCGAAGTACTCCCAAAAGAAGACGGCGATATACGCAATCTGCGCATGCACACAGTGCAGTCATGCCTGTTTGGGCTAATTGCAAGCAGCTAGCTGCAGGTGGTCGATGTTGAGGACGTCGGCGCGATAGGCGAGCAGTTCGTCCGGGTTCCCAGACAGAGCCCGATCGTCTGATGCGTCAGTCACCTGGGGCCCCAGATCCTTGAGCACCACGGTAGAACCGTCCTCCAGGCCATACTCAGCAAGCCTGACACCCAGCATGAGCGCATCCCCTGTTTTCTGTCCCGGTTTCGCTGGCAACGTCAGCCGCTGCCTCGATGGGTGCCATTTCTTCTTTTTGGCGTGCAGCGCTTTCTTGAGCTCGTCCACCGTGGCCTGGGCATGCAACAGCCAAGTCTCAGGACTTCATCCCGCGCCGAGAAAGGGCGCACAATCGCGCTGGCAGACGTTTCCTTCGCCTCACATCAGCATCGATGGTCACACCGCCCTCGACGATCGTCTTCCCTGAACGGGACTGGATCTGCAGTGCAATGGGCGCCATTCCGGACGACCGATCAGCCTTAAACGGCTGTCGCAGTTCGCCCAGAGCAGGCCCAACCAGACAAAAGGGACCAGCCTGGAGCGCGCCCAACACCAGGTGTCCAAACTCCCGTCGTTTGGAACCCCCCTCGTGACGCGTGGCCCCACTGCCAGTCCCCTCAGGCGTCCGTGCTCTCATCCGACGCGACGGCAACTAATATCGTACTTCACGGTGCTCCGCAGACGTAAATATCGTATCCTTCACAGAACTCAACAACGCGCGCAGGGAGGTGGGTGGGCTTTTGGTAGCGCGTTCCGCCCCGCCACCTGTCGAGCAAGGGCGCCACGGGCGCGGTGCCCTTCCGCGATGCTCGCTTCTGACCCCCGTGCTGAAGTCGAAGACATTGACGACGACGACGACGACGACGCGGCCCCGCAATTGGTTCCCCTTGCACCCTCCAGTGAGTGTTTCGGTCTCTGTCCCTTCCCCGAGACTCCTGCTGATCGCCCGGTGGGGAGCGCTGGCAGACTGCTTCCTGTGCTCCGGCAGTGTAGGCTTGGGTGATGACCGCGGAGCAGGAGCTTCGGTTGAAGGGGAGGCCACCGGGATCGACGCAATCCAGGCCAACCGCAATGGTCAGAGGCCTCCGGCTGACAATGAGCCCGTCCCCGTGACGCTGGTGACAGGTGCGTGCTGTGGGGCTGCAGAAACACTGGCCGTATGTGGGCCGGCTTTGGGCACTGGCTGTGGATTTGCAGAGGCCGCGGGCCTGGTGATCATGGATGGCTGATTTGCGCAGGCTGGCTTGGGGCGGGGAAGACCACATTGGTGAACTACATCTTGACAAGCAAAGAGGTGTCGCGAGTCGCCGTCATTGTCAATGAGTTTGGAGACAGTGCGAGCATTGAACACGCCTTGCTTCAAGGGCCAGAGGTGGGTTCATCGATTGCGTCGGCGTCCATTGCGGCTGGAGCATTGTCAAGCAGTTGTCCCCATGAACAAAGTGTCCCACCGCACATCAGAGCAACAATCCACAGTACAGGGCTTCCCGAGATCGCAAGCATAGGCTCAACGGTTTTCAGTGTTGTTTGCAGCATGAGACTACAGCATTGGTGTATTCCTGTATGGAGGGGGCATTTGAAGGGGTTCCGCTATTCAGCCTTGGGCTGATCCAGGATTCAATGTGCATCTGGCAGCTTTAGCATTCGCTGGATGTTAGGGTGTCTTGGCGGGATGGCCATTCAACATCGATGCCACTCTTTGCCACAGGAGGTTCCGGTGATTATCATGGACTTGACCACTTGACTGTCACTTGCTGCCAGGGATGCATGGGCAGGCAAGGATACCGAAGTCGCCGCCCACTGGCAACCAGCTCAATTGAGCATCTGCAGTTCGAGTGTGTTGCTTCCCATCTGCGTGTGCATTGTTGCTCTAAGAGGTTTCATTCTGTCTAGGCGATTAGATGACCTACCTTGACGGCTCTGGGTGGAAAACTGGCGCATTTGGTGCTGCCTTCATTATCAACAAGACAGTGATGAGCCACGTATAGGCACCACGTGGAAAATTGCAGTGGGAGGACATGTGCTTTGATCTTTTGCAGCAAAAGTCACTGACACTTGTGTGATTTGGCTGACGAGCTGCATCGCCAATGGGCATTCCTCTGCATCTCACACTTCCTTGTCCAATTGGGCTCTATGGACAGGTGCCAAAGTCCACAAACGTCACTGCAATAAACTCTATCTGTGGCTGTGCTACAGGATTCCAAAGCTGTTGCAGCTGACTGGTTGGAGCTGAGCAATGGTTGCCTGTGTTGCACTGTTAAAAGCGACTTTGTGGCTGCCCTGGAAGGGCTCATGCAGAAAAGAGAAAAGTTCGACAACATCGTGATAGAGACCACAGGGCTAGCGAATCCAGGGCCAGTGGCGACCGCCCTCTGGACTGATGAAGAACTGGAGGCAGGCGTGTGCCTTGATGCCATTGTTACCGTTGTTGATGCGAAGCACATAAGGAGGCAGCTGCAAGCACGGCCGGAAAGTGGGACCGTCAATGAAGCACAGCAGCAGATCGCATATGCAGATGTTGTAATCCTAAACAAGGTGCGAAGGGTTCTGCATGATTTGCACACATCGCGGAGGGTGGGCAGAATGCGGTCACTTCGTGTGCTACGACTGCTGTCAGCTGAAATTGAATAAGGCGCTGTCGCAGGTGGACCTGGTGACCCAGGAAGAAGCCGACGAGATTGAGGAGGAAGTGAAAGCGATCAACTCCACGGTTTCCATCACAAGGACCATACGATCCAGGGTGGACATTAATGCTGTGCTGAACAGGGGCACATACAGAGGAGGCAGGGCAAGAGGAGGTGCTCGACAATGGGCAGATGGTCTGACGAGAAATTGCTCTGGTGATGGTGGACAGCAAATGCCCTGCGAGGGCCACGCGGACTGTGGTGACGTACACAGTCAGCAAGTCACCACTGTGAGTGTGACAGCCTCGCAAGCTGTTGACAAGGAGAAAGTGAAGACGTGGTTGGATACTTTGCTGTGGGAAAATGATAATCTTTGGGATATTTTTCGGATGAAAGGAATTCTGAATGTGCAGGGATCTGATAGACAGCACTTCATGCAGGCTGTGCACGAGATGTACGAGTTAACTGAAGGGGATGAATGGCGGTCTTCAGACACAAGAATCAGCAAAGTGGTCATCATTGGCCTGCAGCTGTCACACAGTCAGCTGCAAGCTTCTTTTGCAGATTGTGTGGCCACCTAAACCCCAGTCCCACGGTTCTGCACATTCGGTCCTGCCGCACGGATTTGTGCTTCATGAGGACTTTTCTTGAAGTCGTGATGTTGGGTACGAAGTGCTGCTGCAAAGTTCCTTGCCTGCGTATGGCAACTTCTAACGTTGTGCATGAAAGCAGTTCTCAAGCAGTGCAGTCATCTGTGTGAGCCCTGTGACAGAAGAGGCCATCGGTGCTTGCGATTCGTGTTGCGCAGAATGGTACAGACAAGTATTACACTTGTCCCCTGACAAGGTGCAAGGGGCCCTTCATTCCATGCTGCTTTCATGATAGACACAGCGTTATATTTTTCCCCACATCGGGATAGCACTTATGGGTTTCCATATGGGTTTCCTTATGGGTTTCCATAATACACACAGTCTGGATGTCTTTTTTGAATATCTGTGCAACAATCGCAACAACGCAGATGTTGCTCACCACAGTCACTCTGTGCTATCCCGGGCATGAAACACACTTTGCCCAACGGGCAGCAACGCCGTTCCTTGCAGAATGTTCTCCTGAATAGACAGGTTGACAGCGTGCGGCTCACCTACCATTGCCCAAAACAGAAACTTTGGCGGAATGTGAGGACAGCACTCTTTGGATCTTTGAGGTAAGCGAAATTCTGCTATGACGTCCCCGTCATGTGCCTCAACGGGTTGGGTTGACATGAAACTCCGGCGAACTCCACAAAGAACCATCTCAACCACTTTACATTTTGACCGCCTGATGTGTAGCAACAGCAAGTCGACCAACGCTCTTTCCGTCGCATTGTGTCTGTCCTCCGCTCCCATTGCCACCGCGATGGGCAAACATGCTTGAAACAGAAGAGCGAATTGATGCACCTGAATATAGATTGACTCTTGTGAGAATTGGATTTGCAAACATTCTCAACTGGAGGACTGCCACCTGGGGCTGGCCCATGAAACAGCTTTACATCAAGCGCTTCAGCCAGTGGCGAGTTTCGACTTTTTGTACACCTTTTCAGGATGTCCTGACTTCATTGCCTGTCTCCAAGCACACAATTGATGAATTCTTCCCCATGATCCATCTGGCAATATCACCACACGTGGGCATGCCTCACAAGCTCAACTTTCAATGCACTGCCTTCCAGCGCAGGTACAGAGTGTCTCACTGAGAGTGGTCTTGGGAGGCACAACCACCACATTTGGATCCTCTCCCCATGCAAAGCCACATCATGCACTGCACAGCCTCGTTTGCACACTCACTCGAAGAACCATTTCAATCCCAATAGCCCATACCTTTGAGTGCAACAACCGCAGGAACAAACCCCAACAAGCAATTTAAATTTCATTGTCAGCGAGACTAATGTTGGTTCAACAATAGGATTCAAGCTTCCTGGGACATTTCGTGCCCATGTCATGGCCGGCTGCGCCAACGCCAAGCAAGTTGAGGACGATAATGTGGTTGCACCCACTAGAATCCAGGCGCTTGGTGGTGTATCCACTTGCAACTGTGGGACGGAAGCGTTCACATCACAGTTGATGCAGGAGTTGCACAGTCAGCACACAGAACGACAGACCAACGAGCAAAAGCCACCACAGTTCATTTACACATTTGCATTGTACTCGAGTGCAGTGACACACCATACCATCCACAGGCAACCAATATGCACACCAACAGCACCTCAAAACCCAAACACACCATCCATCTTGCGGCAGTGAACAGGTAGTCACTGAGGCGATTCAAGAACTTGCCCACTGAGTCCTCCACATCAGAGCTGTCGATTAGTGGTACAACACTACGCTCAGCACGGCGACAGACCTGCAGCAGTGATGAACGAATGCCTGGGCAACCAATGTGGCTGAGCCCCGGTGGCAAGAGCTGGCAAGCGCAGTGTGGAAGTGCTGCCAAAGCAAATGCGCAACTCCTCACAGTTGTAATGGGGCACAACACTAATACAACTGGCATCAAGATAGTCTTGGTGTGCCAAGGCCAATTCAATGTGACACAGCCCGTGCTGTTCATGCAGCTTACAAACATTCCACACTGCCGTAGTACTCTCATCCTTGCCAGCGCTTCATTGGAGCTGTGAGCAACAGCCTGCAAACAATTCCACATACCCCCCAATTTCCCAACCCGAACACCACACAGCCCCAGTAGAAGCCAGAATTAGTTGCCTTCAAACCATCCACAGTTGATTCCTTCCAACCAACCCGTCTTAGTGCGAGGATTTCGCACGTCCACAAAGGGAAGCATCGGCACCAAGCTGGAATGCCCTTAATCAGCTGGAACCTTTTCAAACACACGCACGAGGGGCTCTGCTGGACGACCAGCAGAGGGGCGTGCTCAAAAATTGCAGTACTCAGCTTACCGCGCGAGCCAAATGAAGAAACGAAGCTGCCTTCCCACCTGCAACGTGTCAATACATTCCTCTGCATTAAACAACACAGTGGTGTTGTTTGTCACCACTTCAGAAGCTTTGCAACACCACTTCCAGTATTGAGACAGAGGTAGCTACAAGGTGCCTGTTATGTTCCTGGCATTGGATGTGTATTCAGGGTTTGCATCTAAGATATGTGCACTGCACCTGACGGCAAGATAAACTGTGACAGAGTCGGAAGTTCCTCATCCATGCTGTCGATCCATTCCTGCAACGGACACACTTCATCAGCACTTCCGCCAAAGATCATTCTCCCCGGTTACGTGTATGGGACACAGCCCGGCGACACAACATGGAGACACACTGAGGTTATTTCACCGTTGTCAACCGGGGGTAATTCTTGTACGGCAGGCACGTCCTCGGCACTTGTCGGCCCGTCCTACGCCAGCAACCTGTGCGATTGCAGTGTTTGAGGGGATCACCTCCAGTATTTGCACCAGCTCCGAGTCGAATTGAACGCGCCGCAGTTTTTCTGGAGTCGAACTGGTTATTGGAGTGGCGCAAGCAGAGCCAACGTCCAGGAGGTATGTCTGCACTGTCTCTAGCTGCATCAAACATTAGGCACACGCACACACCACAGTGAGAGAAACTGCGCTTCCTTGGCCTGACGCAGCCGGCCTGACCAGGATTGCGTGGCGCAGGCAACAAAGCAAACATGTGTGTCCCATTTCGTCCCCACGGCATTCGTCGGTAGCTTTCTGCTTCCAAGCCGGCGAGTTTCTGGAAGCCCATACCTGGCTGGCAACACCCTCCCCTCCCTTCACTTCCTCGCAAAACTCTCTCGCCACGCCGACGGCCGAGTTGAGTTCGTCGACGTCTCCCAGCGCGTTGAAAACCCGGTCGTCTTTTCTCTTGCGCGCACCATTGAACAGGCTGGACTCCCCCAGGTCGCCGGTCTTGGTGTATATTTTCATGCTGCGTGGGCCAGGCGCCTGGGTGGCCCCGTGGGCTGCAGTGGGATGGTCGGAAAGGGGGCGCTTCCCACCGCTGGCGCCTTTTGTGAGTTAGACTGATGCGAAGCGTCTGCGCGCACGCACAGGGGCATCGGGTGATGCTCAATCTTGCGTGGTCAACCTCTCCAGCGTTTGACCGCATGACCGTCCAACCAGGCGTCACGCTGGGGTCCCCGGCAGAAAAAAGGCAGCTGAAACGTGACACGGACCCTGCCTGCAGGGTCATCAGCAATCCTTGCGAATCACAGCAGAGAGCAGGAAATCGCTTGTGAATCGGTTCATGTTTGTTGCCTCTGGTGGTAACTTCCTGTTGTCTACATCGGCAGCTGAATGACAAGCACGCGCAAAAGTTTGCACCCCCCTACAGGATACGTGCAGATGGGTACCGCCAAAACGAACAGTGTGAGCGCCATGCTAACGCCGAGCACTAGCATTGCCCGCGATGGACCCAAAGCGTCCAATATTGCCGCATTGTTGCAGGTGCGGCAAATGCTGTCAACTGCGTTGTCACAATTCGACAAACGGCATCAAGGCAGGTTCGCGTTCAACAGACAATCAAACGCGACAAAAGGGCGGTTGTGTTCTCGGGTGTCCACGCTTTGGCGTTCAAACGGATTTCTGCGGCGGGTCTCCAAAGGGCGGGGTCCGCACACTGGGCTTGTGCCTCGCTCGCTGGGCTCCTTGCACACGCGAGCGAGCCACAACCCCCAACAGCACAGTGTGCGAGCTCAGCACCCAAGCCTGAACACCATGGCAGCAACTTTGCCTAAGACCAGATGTCCCTCACATAGCGCCGCTCCTTGCTCATTTCTGCCAGCTTCGTAACCGCTTCCTGGCCCGTCAGTCTGCCAGCACTCTGCAAGATGGCCAATAAACAGTCGTGTACGTCCTTTGCCATCGAGGCGCCATCGCCACAAACAAAAACATACCCCGCCTGCGTAATTGCCATGTCAAATACTTCGTCTGCAAATTCCTTGATCCTGTGCTGAACATACACTTTGGAGCTCCCATGTCTTGAAAATGCCACCTCGAGTCGATTCAGAGTCTTCTCCTCCAGGAAGTCCTTCAACTCATCCTCATACAAAAAGTCCTCTGTGGGTTGTCGACATCCAAAAAAGAGCCAACAAGGGGCGCTTTGCTCCCCACCCGCCTGCTGGGCAAGACAAACACAAATCTCAGGCCCACCCAAACTCAACAACAGAATGGAGCCACCATTCGTGTGCTCAAATGTTGCCTTGCTCCAGCACAGACAAAAGTTATTCAGCCCACCTGACGTCTTGCCCGTCTTTCCTGCAGGAAGCCCAGGAAAGGTGTCACTCCAGTGCCCGGTCCAATCATTATCCATGGCTTCTCCAGAGTATCGGGAACATGAAAGGCACCCCCTGACCTCAAGAAAACTGGTAAGACAGCTTGCGGCTTCCCAGAATTGGAGGCGGCTGATAGAGCGGGGCTGAGCAGCCGGTCCATCCAGTGTGTTGCAACTCCATTCTTTGTGCCCCAAGGTGTTTGCAGAGTAACAACTGTGAAGGCAAACTGCGCTTTGTCTCCCTTTTCCAGTTGAGACGAAGATATCGAGTACAAACGTGGTGCCAAAGGAGGCAGTATGTCGAGAAGGGCATCCAGAGGAGGTTTACAAGATGGACAGCTGCACCACAGCGCAAATACAATAAGATAAGTGATGACAAAGGCACTGGCAAATCTTGGCATCTTCCGAAACGTGGTGCAAATTGAGGGCCTTGTGGGGAATTCATGGTGTGTGATTCGACATGCTAAGTGATTCTACCCTCCTCAAATTGTCAACACCACCTTCATGATAGTGAGTAATGTCTCTGTATTGGACCAGAACATTGAAAATACTCCACATGAATTCCACGTCCCAAAGACAGTTGTGTGTCATGGTAGCAGTCGACATGGGAGTGGCAAGCCGTGTACTCTCCACTCCAATTTACACCCACAGCTTGAGGGCAGCACAGAGAGCGGTAATTGCACACATCCATTGCTGCAAGCATTCCTATTACGTTTCACACCATTTCTTTTCCTCTGTCAGCGATCCGACAAAGGGGTACAGACAGAAGAAAAAACCTGCTGGAGAACAGAACCACACTGAACACAAATGCACTTATGAAGCATCTGGAATTGTGAAGATGGCTATGACAAGCAACATTCTCACGCCACAATTACCATAATGCTTTGTTCAGCAAATGATCTCGCAACTCGAATCAGATTCTCTGTGACCGCCCCTACAGTTCGTACCCGGCATGAACCACTCCGTTCACCTCTATCATACCTTCGCAATATCTGCACAACGGAAGAATTGCCTTCTACCACAACCTTCCTGTATGCATCCCGTCCACTTCGACTGCACAGGTACAGAAGTTTTCTCTTCTCTATTTCATCTGAACAGTGCTCTGCCAGCAGCCGCAGCAACGTCTTCCGGGGGACAGAGGTGATGTCACACGCAGATGCCAGGGCATGCTGCACACTGCAGGGCCAGTGCAGGTGAGGAAGGAGCACTTTAGCACACACATGCACATCAGTCACTTGCAGCTTCTGGACTCGTATTGCTGGCAATGGCATTGCACCAGCTAAGTGTGTCAAACTGGAGCAAGTGAATGTTAATTTGCTGCTGCAAGGCCTGTGTGGCACAGCATGCGTGCATGGGGCCAACAACACCACCTTCTTTGGGGTGGTGGTTGCAAGAACTCCCCTTACCTTGATTGCTGCTTTCCTGCCTGGGCACCACTGAAAACACACGGGCACCGTCAATGCCCAGAGCTCCAAGGATGTCATTCACAAGGCAAGGGTCATTAGCAGGTGCCACCCCCATGGAATCCCCAGGTCTGTAAACAACTGCGCTTCCAGTCAGGTCCACCTCAACATGAAGCACACGCTTGTCAGACCACCCAGCAGTCAATCGCCTGAAAATACAGCAGCAGAGCAAGCTGTTAGGCAGCCTTGGAACAACACGGCAATGCCGCAGGGGTTGCAAAGTGCATCATGCCTTGGCAGTGACACTGCAAAAGCGTCTAGTTCCAACAGTCTGCAAAGACCCCAGGAAGAAGTGAGTAGAACCCCAGGCCCACAGCAGCAAGTGACAAACAACACTTTGGCCTCCTCCTCAAGGTGCATAATAAGGTGCCAGCCTGGGCACCCACTGGTATTCGATTGTTTCAAGCACATCCACATATCGTGCTCTGATACAGATCCAACCGCTGCTGCGGCAGGTGTTGTGGGCTACCAGCAAACGCAAATGCACGCAACACCTACATGAGGGCCAAGGGTGCATATGTGGGGGTGCTCCTGCACAATAGTGCCACATTAATGGGTCCTGCACCTGCAGAGGATGAGCGGCACACACCTTACTTCAAGCACCTTTCCGAGGAACGGATTCTCAGCATTGTACAATCCTTTGGGATCCCTGTGCTCCATTTCCTGTTGACTTGGCCACGATTTTTCCCTTAGCAATACAACGTCGGCAGCATTCGAATCCTCTTCCCAAACCAATTTCACCCGACATTCAGGACAGGCTGGAACCCCCTGCAAGTCAACGTCGCTGCTGATGCACAAATCAGATATTGATGCCAAAGAGTCTGTGCTTTGCGGCCCCAGAGAAACCCCTGCATTGCTTGCTGATGTGGCCTGCGAGAAGGCCTGCTGTGTGGACACCTTGCCATCTGTTTTCTCCTGTTCAGGAGATACCTTTCAAAAAGGCACAACATCCTTAGGGACCCCAGCCAAATCTTTACCTCCGCACATCAAACAAAATATGAATTGGCCAAGTTGGGTGCAGCAAAAGCACAAATGAGTATGAGCTTCTTGCCAACTCACTGCCACAAAGGACTTGTTGGCATACAATTGTTTGATGAGTGCATAAAGTTTATGCATAGTAGTCAGCACGATAGCAATACTCATTGTCGAAAACAAAGGCCAGACTTCGGCCCCATGGTGTAACAAAATCGTTGATCTGCATATGAACTCCAAGAGCAGCTCAATCACATTGAATACCCACGTTAGTATCTGGCCAAAAGAGACATGCAAGAATTGTGCATCAGTGATTCCTAGCAAAATGGATATTGAGATTCCCCCAGATTGCAAAACAGTTCTCTCATGCAAGACGTTGCAAAGCCACCAGACTCAACGTATATCGTCGTCTGCGTGTTGTGTGATGCAAAACACTTCAGGGCATCTATCTTCAGTCAAGGCAGCCCTTGTACTTGAAAGCAACAATGCCTCTCATGGATTAGAACACTGACACTCTGTGCTTCCCTGTATTTTATGTTCCCCAGGCTTTTCACGCCTATTGTTCAAGCAAAATGGTAGCAACCATGACCTTGTCGCATCCCCAGAAAACAGCACAGAAGCGAATGCCCTGGCACAAACTGCGACATTTGCATGGCACGTTGGGCACACTGCTTCAACACCAACACCTATGTAATGTGCTGATCACCACTCTGGGCCTACCGAAATATGGTGCACATTACCTTGTGGACTGTGCCACCAGCGACCGCATTCTTCAGTGGGGCCCAGAGTCGCTCAACCCAATCTTCAGCAATCTCTTCAAGGCCTTCCACCTCATCGGCCTCCTGGCATCCGTGGAAGCATTCTGCCCCCAACTCCCTGAATTTTCGGCAGAGCGTCCGAGGCACATGCATGAAGCTGGTGTAATTTGAGTCCCCCAGGCCAAGGCAGGTGAATTGGATGCCTTTCAATTGTTCAGGGCTTTGGGCCTTCTGCAGCTGCCGAAAAAATGCCGAGGCGTTGTCCGGCGGGTCACCGTCACCAGTGCTCGACGCAACTAACACAATGACGGAAGTCTTTGCGGCTGAAACGTTCTCAAACCCCAACTCATTAAGCGACAAGACCTGCAATACACAGCGAAACCAAGGCAACAAATGAGCCGATTGCGACGGCTGCCTTTTCTGCTCAGCCCTGTCGCACGCTCCGTACCCATTTGGGGTACGCTGCACCTCCAGTCAACAAAGGTCGCCTTGCTGTTTGGCCTTTTCCCTGAAAGTCAGCCCGATGGCATTCTAATATCGTTGAGGGCGCCGCACCCCCACGGCGTTCAGGGCTCTATTCCAGAAGATGGGTCACAGGCACCCAGGTCGCTCCAGCTGTGCTGACGTTCCCACCTTTGACGCAATGCCATGGCTCTTGGATTCCGAAGCAATGGCGCAAGCTATGTCTTGCGCTGTGCCAGTCTGTGACGCGAACGCGATGACGGCCTCCCGGACTGCAGGCTTTTGTGCACTGGTCTTTTTCGAGGAAGCAGCTCTCTGCGCCCTGCGAGACGCGGCGAAGCGGTCCTCAGCCATGCCGCCGGGAAATGAGCACCCACACTATCACGCGCAGGGGCCGCCAATGGCCGCGCGTTCCGTGGTGCGGAAAGGACCATCGTCGCCCAATGGCTGTCCCCGTTCCGCGAGCTTGTAGTCTCCCAATGGGCCGCAGCCCTACCTGAGGCGAGCAAGAATGGCGGCGCCTCCAGTCAGCGGAGGCCCGCCCGCCGACATCTTCGTGCTCCGCCGACAGCAGACCTCTGGACGCACAAGCCCCCGTTTGCCCGGAACAAATCGCGCTGTGTTGAGACAGCTTCGATGTGCGTGTACGTTCTTTCTTCAAGTTTGCAGCTGATGGTCGGGGAGCTCCAAACGGAAGCGATGGTGCAACCCCGGTCTGACATGCACTCGCAGTTGCGGGTGCCAGCTCGGCGTATCGATCGTCCCGCCGGCAAAGTTCACCGGAAGTACGGGGCGCTCTCGTCCGTGGCAACGTACTGCTTGTGCAGCCAAACACCGCCGGGGGGTCAGCGTGATATCTCCGGTTGCCGGGTTTCACTGCGGGGTGGGAGTGCGGTGTTTGGGGCCAGTGCGGGCTATCGCACGGAACGGTCGCCGTTGAAAGTCGCGGCCAAAGCTGTATGGAAGCGACGCCCAATGGCGGGCGGCATGGACAGTGACGGCCCGAGCCGGCAGGCGTCCGTGGCGGAGTACGTCATCAATGAATTTCAAGCAGTGGCGAAGATCTTGCTGGAGAAAGCGACTCCCCAGGTTAGTGGGCTGTTAGCACATCGATTGGAGTCTCGACGACCGAACAATCGAAAACGAGCGAAGGGCCCCTTGTGCTGCGGCAGTGGATTTGGCAGAAGCGGCGATCATCAGTGGCTCGGTGCCTTCGTTGAGGGTTCACCTGTCTTTGCAGCATTGCAAGTAGCCGTCGTGCGCGTTTGCACCTTTTTCTCTTCTCTTCTTCCGTTTGGGCACACTCTGTAGTGGCATGCACTTGGCAGTGCCAGCAGCGCTGCACTTCCCACTCTCCCGAGCAGTCAAATCACCGAGTATCTGTTTGCAGCGTCGCTGTTGTGTTGCAGTAGCCATCCTGAACCCAATGCTCGGCGCGGTGGTGAGTTGCCACTGTGGCCGACAAGATTTGGGGCAATTCAGTGGGTGCTCAAGTTATGGGCGGCATGTTCCAGGTTCCGCTGTATGCAACTCCGGAGTATGCCCGGTATGACAAGCTCTTGAAATGCCTGAGGCTGGTTGGCAAAGCCAACGTTCCTGCCGTGTTCGATGCCCTGTGGGCTTGGAGGGCGCGCATGGAGGAGCGGTTGTCGGGCGTCGTGGATACCATCAGTATCCAGTGCAGAAGGGTAGGCAGGCGGCTGATGCTCTCCCCCTGGGGGTGCCGGCATGGGTCTTGGATGTTTTGGTAACAGTTTCGCTGGTGGAGATAACCCTCCCAAAGGAATGTCCAGACCAGTCATTGGAGTACGTGCAGTCGAAGAGAAACTCCTGAATGTCTATTGGGCGTTGGGGCGTATCTGCTGCAGTTTGCTGCGTTGGATGTATGGATCCCCAGGCTTCAAATGTTGCTGGAAACACTGTTGTTAAAGATAAGGGCAAATACATCAACGAACTGCAACTCTAGCAGTCCCAACACAACAGGACAAGGCAATGGGCACCGCAACAGGCACAACCCTCACTTGGACCAGAACCTGTGGGCTGCTGGTCAGCACAACAACCCTTGACAGATATGCCAGGATTTCGATGGCGCAAATCATACATTGCCTTTGTGCATGATACAGTTGTAGCCCACAGGCAGAAATGCAGAATTGGCAGCAATGATTCGTTTGGCATGGATTGGTATTTTGGTGCGGTGATGGAACCGAGAGTGTCCTTGAGGATGAACTCAACAGTATCGTTGATGGTGCATTCTGCAGCCAATGATCTCTTTTGTTGGTATGTTCATAAAAGTGAGCAAACTCACCAGCATGGTGGGCATATTGCCTGTATGCTTGCAGAACATATTTCTGAGTTTCAGCCATGATCAGATGTTCATTTTGGTTTGGCAAGTGGTACAATTCAATGTGATAACCTGTGCCAGCTTGGCCACTTGTTGTGCTATAGGACTTTCTGCTTTGTTTCAGTGAATTGCACAGCTCTGATATTTTGCTGTCAGGAGTTTGCTGACAACACGTTGCAAATAGCCTAGTGCAATTTGCCAAATTGCATGTGATAGTGACCTTCTGATCGGTGGGCCCCTGTCATGTGCCCAGGACTTCGTCTATGGGCAAGGTTTGAATCGCAGTGTCCTGTGTGGCGGTCTCTGAATGCACACTGCTGCAGTACTTAAAGGCGCAGTTGTACTCATTGCTCATGCTGAGGTTATTTTGACACAGGCAGTTATTGAGTGCACACTGATGGAGACATGCCTACAGCTTCTTGAGGAATTGCCTCCACCATGCTCAAGTGTTCTTGGCAAGGGAGCAGAGGAACTGGAAAGGTGTGGTTGGTTGCTGTATTGACTACCTGCTCTTGGTTTACACAGTGAATCATGCAAAGAGGCATTGAGGCTGCAACAGAATGCAAAGAGATGCTACTGTGGTTTGTGGAATGCTGGAGTCTCTGGTGATGCCAATGAGTATTGCTGCATAATCATTCGCTGCAGGGTCTCAACAGTCCTAGGATTGTGGTGCTGGCATGGATGATGCTTTCACAAGAGGAAAAGGAAGTATTGAAGAGAGATTGTGCATGGCATAGTCTCAACAACATCATTGCGACTTTCTGAGTCGTTGAACGCCCTAAGTTGTTGTCGTCCACCCAGTTGCATGTTTAAATGCAGGCACTGGCCTGTTTGTACTGGAAAATCAGGGCACATCACGCTGCCAGTTGCTCTCTTGTTAATTTTGTCTCCAACGCACAGCCATCTTGTACAAATCTTGTGTTCTTGCCAGCTGAAATTTTCACCTGCTATTAGGTGTCTGACGTGTGACCAAAGAAGTGTAATGGCGTTTTTATTTGCATGTGTGGAGAACTGCAGTACAATGAGACCACATGCTCCATCAAAACGTGGTTAGGTTTGTGGCCTGCTTGGCGCTGAGACCCCGACAAGGAGTGGCACGAGTTGCTTTTGTCAGGTTCCTCGATGGATTCACACTTGACACCATTGTTGACCTGAGCATGGTTTCTCACACTGCAAGGTTCTATCCTGCCACAGTTCCATACAAACGAATTCTCACATCCAGAATTCTTGCAGAGCATAAGTGGAAGGATTGACTCTTCGGGGGTGTAGCTGATGCATTGAAACATCAGAATCTCGGGACCACATTGTACTTGAATGCATGACCTATGATATAACTAGAAATCATTGATGTGAGTCAGCTCGCCAGGGGGGCAGCCCATGGGTTGTGTGGGATCTGCCAGTGCTTGTTCCCAAATGCCTTAAGGAACTCATGGTGCATGCAACATATGTCATGAAGTGATGGGATGAGCTGCCAGGGGCCCTTGGGGCTTACAGTGAAGAGACAATTTGTACATTGATCAGAATTGCTCACCTCAGGGCATTCCCTCATTCTGTATTGCTCTGATTGATGCTGGGTCACTTGGTTAAATTCAGCCTCAGTCTGGTTGGTTTTGCTGGATTGGCAGTCAGCACACTGGGGATCCTTTGGTCTGTATTTGGCTTGTTCTTTTTTGCTATTGTTTCCTTCCCCTGAGGCTCTGCCTGGCCAGCAATACTCAGGTCGGATATGGACACAAACAAACACAGCGGGAATAAACAAATGCATGTGCCTGAAACCAGTGCCCAGCATCGCCAATCTGGTGATAGGCCTTTTGCATTGTCATGCGAGACTTGTAGTCAAAATGAAGATTGGGTATTTGAATATCTTGAGTGAGCATAACGCCTGTGTTAGTTACCCTCCCAGACTCAGAAGATATCCAGTTGTGGTGTTCCAGGGGGCTTGTTACAGTACTTTGTTTCAGCTTCACCTTCAGCCAGCAGCACACACGCAATTTTTCCTGCCAAAGAATGGAGACAAATGTCAGCTCCACGTAGCATCTGACTGCTTCCACTGTGACATTGAATTTGCTCATACTATTCAAACCCATCTTCACCCACCCACCCACCCACCCTCCCCCCTTCCTAAGTTAAAAATCGAAAGCTGGCGTTCGTTTTGTGGATGCAAAGAAAGCACACAGGGCCAAACTGATTCACAGGTACATTGTATTGTGCTTTGGATTTGGCACAATGTTCAACTGATGTTGCAATATCCTTTGGGCTTCCCAGTGACGATGAGCATCGTGTACTGGTGTGTGGGCTCAGGCTGGCCTTCAGTTTGGCAATAAGTGCAGAGCAGATCATATCTCGTCCTGAAGCTGGCCAGCATCTGCAACGTGTTGTGGCATTGAGCAGCCATGTCATTGGTGCCTTGGCACGCGGACGGCTAGAGGCAGTCTCAGCAATGTTCTTCAGAATGCTGGAGAACAGAATCCACTCTGAGAGCACAACACACCGGCAGGAGATCATTGCCCTGTGTGCAGCAATGAAGCACGTCCGGCTGTCGTTCGACTCTGAGCATGAAATGGCTGCAGCAGTCAACTTCCTGCAGCATGCAAACCCCCTTCGGCATGCTAACATACCCATGAAGAAAAGTCAGGTGTGCACAGAGCTGCAAAGGCACGTCACTATGCCAGGTACCTGCTGTAACGTTTTCTTGAAGCTGCTGCAGGTTTGATTTCCGATCTGCAAGTCGCAGTTTGTTGGTCTGACATGCTGCGTGCCGAATCCTCACTACAAGTGCAGTGATTCCTGCAACCATGTCAGGCAATGGGCCTCCTGTCTTGAGCTTGAAAGCTGCGTGTTCTTGTGCATCCGAGGTGACAATGTAGAATTTGGTGAACACAGATTGAATGACTGGCAACAGACCCTCATATGTCTGGGAAAGGTCAAGTACTGCATCTCTTCCAAAAGTCTTGTCCGTTATCCAAATCACGCAAGTGGAGGCCAGAACATGCGAGTCAAAAAAATCGATCAAAACAGCTTCAACGCGCCATGTTGATAGCTACCTGTAGAGCCCTTGAGCGTGGAAAACGGTGATGCTGTTCTTCAGATGTGCTAAGAGGGCAAAGACGCCACTTTTTCTTTCGTTGGGACCTACAGGGGGGTATGGGGAGCTAGTCTGGCCCTTTAAAGGAGGTGGATCGAGCTGAGTCGTCTCTAATAAATGTGATTGGCCTAGTAGTTTGGCATGCAATGAAGATTCGGCTAGATTCAAAACTGAATCCACAGAGCGAAAGATGCGGGCTTGCCGCAGATTTTGGATGTCAACAGGAATTGTGTGTGTGTGTCGTGGCTGAAGGGCAAAAGACACCTAGATTAGTGCAATAGCATTGGCCTAACCAGTGCAACAAGGTTAGGAAGGCCGTGAAAACCGATGCTAACCCGAAAACGGCCTGGGTTGGTGACAACATGGCGAATCGTTGAAATTGATAATTTCAAGGCATGAATCAACATAGAGAAAGAGATGGTCCACAGAGGGTGTGACTGCTACGATGCCAAACTCTGGGAAGTTTGTAGCATTGCCTACTTATTGCCTACAACAAAGTTCTTGAATAATCTCGGGGAAACAGGCTGACACACATGGGGATGACGTGAGCACAAAACTACGGGAATTGAGGCCCTGACGAAGATGTATAGGGACGCTTTCGATAAGGCTGTGCAGGTCTTGCTACATGATGATGGCTAATGTAACCAAGATCTCAATTACCTCAAAGTCGACCACGAAATCCGAACCTGGTGACAGAGTTACGAATTGAGTTGATCTTGCAAAGTTATGGCAAGATTGGATAACAGACAAAACTTGTGTAGTGGAGGTAGTATGATGCCAAGAACCAACTGCGATGCCACGCGTGCTCCTTGCATCCACATTTGGGACCTTGCGGACATTTGGGAACATTGCCAAACCTGTTCTGGTGATATCCTCAGCAGACTTGTGGCTGCTGTTGCCTTTCTGTTCAGCTGAGTGCTCCAGAAACCAAAGCGTGTGTTGCTCAGCAGCTATTGCGGGAACATTCTGGCCTTCCTTCAAGTCACCTTTGGTAATCCAAGCTTGCTGTGACCAAGAATGGAGCAGTGGGGGCTGTTGGGGCATGATTATATGTCCAATCAGCTGTGCATTCTTGTGACACCTGTACCAAGGCTTGGCAACTCTCTCAAATGAGAGTTTGAGGTGTGCGTTGCAAGCCTGCAAAGCACTGCAGTCAATGGCATGCCCAGATTTCCTTTCTATCTTGATGCACATCAGCCTGTGGAATCCTTGGTTTGTCTCAGTTATTGAGTCGCTGAAATAATGAGTCAGGCACAGTGCAAGTCTTCTTTCTCGATTCCAAAACATGGCTTCTTGGGATGCAAGGCTGTAATAAATCGGCAGTCACGATCTTTGTTGTCTCACTTTTGTGATGTTCCACCATTGCACCGATTGGCCCAGTGGTCTGCCATGTTGAATTAGCATCTGCACCACAGCTTTTTATCCTGGCAGGGTGAATGATGCATTGGATGCTGCACGCTGACATTTGTTTTGGGACTGCTGTGTTCCAGGTTCATCATGCTCTGGCGTCCATGCTGTCGTCCATTCTTTTGCCCCTGGTTGTCGCTGATGTTCCTCGCAGGGGTGCAGAGCATGTCAGGGTTCACTTGGACAAGTGGTTCAAGACTGTTGCCACAATTGAGAAGAGCACAACTGACTGGGCAGTAAAAAAATCGAAGCACGTCCAGGTATGGACAATTGCATTGGGCTCATCTGTTTGCATGTGGGGCCGCGCCATCTTATCCTTTTAGGGGCAGACATCTGAGCTGACTTTTGGGTGAAGTACCCACTGTGGTGAAAGCTTAAACAACCATGATGCTTTGGCAGCTCCAAGTGCAGTTTGAGGCACAATGGGTGACTGAGACCATTTTGCAAAACTCTGTTCTGGTGAGATTGTTCCAGCGACACTGTCTTGAACTTGCAGACATTAAACATGTGCAATTCTGTGTTCTCCTAGGATGGCTATCCACTGATGACATATCTAGTCTGTTTGGAGGAGGATGCTACATTCTTTCAGACCAGCAACCGCCTGGTGAAGAAGTTGCACAAGCAGCTCAGACTCAAGGAGTGCCGTGCTCTGACAATAGACTGCCTAATTCAGTGCATCCAATGTTGGCTGCATAGGTCATCTCAGGCCAGGAGTGGTGCTGTAGAGTCCAAGCACATGTGGTTGGAGAGAGTGTGCAAACCTGTGACATCCAGTGTGAAGAAAGGATTTCTCACAACAACAGAACAACAGGTGTGGGCCCTACAAAGTGCATGTGGTAAAAGCTACAGAATATTCTCTTGTCTCGGTTCATTAGAACAAATTCGATTTACTGTGCTTGCTGATCTGCCAGGTCCCCCTGGAGTGCGGAACTTCGCTTTTTTCTTTTTTGAGACTGAGCATTCTTCTGGATTCAAACAATCTGGGGCTTTATATCGCCTTGCACGTTCTTGCGAGGTTGCACAAGGCCCACATATCTTGTTACTGGATGGGTGGCACCAGGGCACTGAAGTATGATGTGGTATTTTGGAATCAAAGAAAATGCCAAAGAATATGCACCAAGACAGCCTCAGATATGTTCCAGTATTGCCATATTTGTGGCTTGACTTCTTGGACCTCCACTTTACAGTGATGTGGGCATCCAAATGCATGCACTTGACTTCCTGTCTACATAGGATCGGTACACTTTTGAATGCATGGTTTATGTCTTGCATTGCAACATTGCACAAACTGTGCATGCGCACACTCTGTCTTAATCACTGCTGAGAATGCTCACTCCTGGGAGTCACTGTGCATGTGCCACTACTGCCAGAAGCACAGAGGCTTCATTTGTGTGACAGGACTGCCAAAATGGATAAATGTTGTGACCAGACAAATGCAAAATGGGCCTGTTCGCGCAACAGCAGGAAAGCACAAAGTCCTTGGACTTGGAAAGGGACCCACAAGACACAAATGCATGTGTCATTGAATTCATAGCTGTTCACTGATTTCATGCTGCAAAACCCACAAGAGTATGTGCTCACGTGCATTGGGCAGGTGGCATTTCATAATGGTCACTGTTGCATTGCCCTGAAAATTAATGTCTGTGCTGATTTAGACACTCCAAGATATCAGAGCGTGTACAGAAATTATAGTTGTTTGTAGTCATGATTGTTGACCAAATATTGGGACTTGTGTTTTGTACGTCAAACAGACAAGCAACACTGCCGATATCGCTATGTGCCCATCTGTTGCACATGCACTGTATGCAATTTATCAGACAGTCGCAAATGGGTATCAGGGACCGAGCCTGAGAATGCATCTGAAAAGAGTAGAAGCAGAAGTACAGGTAGAACTTGTCCAAGTACGGAATGGAAAGCGGATATGAATATTGTGAAATACAGCTGCAATGCACCTTGCAAGGTGGGAGAGACAGCCTGCATTGTGCACCATTTCTTCAAGCACAGGTAAGAGACACTAGTTTGTGGTGATAGCAAATCGCTATTAGCGATTGAGATTTCTGCTTCTAGCACCTAAAAGGGGCCCTTGTCAAGTGGGAAAGTTGTCTGCAAGATTGTCGCATAGAATGCCAAGCCTTGGACCACTAACATTGCTGTTTGTTCTAAATGTTGGTGTTGTGTGTATGGGCTTGTTGCACAGTTGTGTCGACTAATTTTGTTTGTTTCCCACTTTTGCAGGACCTTGTTGTCAAGATGTGTCTTGTCATATGCGATGTTGCTCCAGATTTTGCTGTAGAGCACATCATATTGGGTTTGCTTGAGTGTGACTCTGTGGAGGGTGTGACAACTGGGCTGAGAGCTCTGATGGAGATGTTGCTGTTTGAGGCTCAAAAACTTCGTGGGGCCAAGCCCAGTTCACCCTTTCGTACACCAACACTGCGTGCCTCCCTGGATCGTCATGAGCTGGAAGCCCAGGCATGTGCCCCCGCTCTACTCTGCACGTTCTGCCAGCACCAGCTGGATTCACAGTGCAGTATGTGATTGCTGCTCAATCGGTAGAAATAGACTGCCAATGGTCCCTTGAGTTGTGGTGTGTGTGGAATTCTGACCTGAAGCAATGACCAGCACTTATTGTGCATTTCCTCTTGCAATTTTGGTGGGATCCCTGGTTACATGTCCTTTGCTAGTGGTTGTCACGGACAAGACAATATCATGATTTATCTCTTGTGCTCTTCAGCTGCTGAGCTATGTGGCAGGAGGCAACCATGCTCTGAAGCTCTTGGGGCTATCAAACGCGATCTCAGTTGTTACTGAACGGGTTGGGGACTTGATGGACACATATCGACATCAATTTGGCAACATGGCTTTGACAAACAACCCGAAGAGTTTCCCAGATATGCAAACCAAGGACCTCATGAGCGGGATCAATGCCTTTTGCTGGGCTTTGCGACTGGTGCCTTACATTGTTCCCCAGTGCCTCATGAGGGATGGGCTTGCGGAGGTGCTGCCATTGTCAGTGCCATGAGTGGGTCTCTCGGCATCCCATGATTGCTTGTTGTGCTGCTGGGCACCGTCCTGTTAGCAGTAGTGATGTTTGAGAAGATGCTGTACTTCCGTGCTGTGCACTTGGGGCAGGGGTGGGAACTTGCATTGATGTGGACAGTAAGATGCCTGTCACTTGATTCCCACATTGCCAGAGAGGAGTGGGAACCATGCTGAACGAGGGGCCCTACTTCTCCGTATAATGGTCCTGCCTCAGGTTCAAACACGGCCTGTTCTTGTCCATTTTGAGACATTGAATGCTTATTCGAAAGTGACTTGACAACAGCAGCAAGGGTTGATTGTTGATGCATTTGTAGGCAGCCCTTTGCTCTGAAGCCGCATCAAGTAATCTGTTTCACATCAAGCCGGATGTGTTGCAATATGCTCTTTTTCCGTGTTGTATTGTGTTTTGTTGTGTTGTGGAGATAAGCATATTCCTGTTTCAAGGGAGATACTTGGAGGTCTGCAGGTTGCAGCCTGTTCAGCTGTCCAACTGTGTGCTGGCCAGGTACACAGCGCATGCAGAGGCTGCTGTGAGCCAAGTTGCTTGCCGAGCTTTAAGTAACGTGTTGAGTGGGATGCCACAAATGCGCAACAACATTGTGAATGGAATGATGCGCTCCGTTGTTCGCATCGATGACCTTAACACACAGGTGTGCATGCTGTGTGATTGTGACAACGGTTTGGGGTAACAGCTCATTGTAGTATCATAAGCTGGAGGATGGCTGTCTGCATGATCCTGTTCAGCCTCATTCGTCTCCAACAGGCAAGCTTCGGAACTGGGTATTTGGACATTGTGCCCAATAAATCACTGACAAGTGACAAGATTTGGACAGGGAGAGGTGGGCCTGATTGGGACACAGAAAGATTTGGTGTCGTAGGTTTTTTCTCAAGTGCATCCAGTGACCACTAGACTTTGTAGCATCTCTGAGGAGTGGAACAACTGACCCCTTGCAGTTCCCAGAGTCTGTAAAGTGCATTGTGCCAGCGATCCTAATAATCTGCTGCCTACAAGATTGCATAGTAGATGATGTTGCGATGCGCATGGAGCATGCCAGGCTTAGATCAGCCATCGTACTTCATGGAGGACCACTTTGATATTGTTTCAAATCACTGTTATTAATAATATTATTAATCTGTTATTATTTTATTGTAAATCTGTTGATGTCTTGCTGAGTAGTTCTGACATCCAGCAAACTGTGGCAGCAAACAGCTGTGTTGACATGCTCTCCAACAATAATTTACAGGAAGCCACCTCACTTGATGCTGCCTGCCCAGTGCTGTTGGCGGAGCGGCTCTGTTTGTGTGTAGTGTGAGCTGTGTTGTGCTGAGCAGGCCATTCTTGATGGCCTGAGGAATGCACTCAACCTCCTACAAGACTGGCAGAACCTTGCCACTTCCCCTGCGAGTCCTCCTGATCCTGCTGGGTTTGATGTACACCATATGGAAGGCCTGGCTTTGACATTTTTGTGCTCTGTGGACGTCCCCATTCGGGTGGCAGCCGTGAACATTCTCAAGGCTAGCCAGAAACTCCACCAAACACTGAGAAAGAAAGCACAATCAGGAGATCAGGGTAAGGGAAGCTTGCCCAGTGCACTTGTGGTTGGAGATGGACTCTGTACAGCTTTTTTGACCAACGTGTATGCTGCAACAATGATGATTCTATTTGTGCACCAGTTTTCCTTAGCCTTGCGCTGGAAGAATGGATTGCCTTTGTTTATATTCCCACGTGCTGCCTGAATGTGGCTTGAGGCTCCTTGAATGCTGCCTATGTTGAAGATGTGGGCGGGCGGTTATCCATCAGATGAGGAGACGTCAAAGTTGAACGAGCACCTTGTGGCCAACAACTGCATCAAACAAATTTATGTGAACAGAGGTTGAGCATGGTGGTTGCTCAAATGATGTTGCTTGGTGCCAGCACTTGCTATGGTTGATTGGCTGTCCTGAAAGATGTGATTATGAGTTGTTTGATTTGCCAGGAAGCCAGTTTGTGTCGCAGGTGGCAAAAATCACAAACAGATGGGCTCGGAAGAGTCAGTGCGGGCTAGATGGGCCAGGATGAGTTAGTGCGTGGCTGCACCGTGCTGAATTGGATTAAGGAGACGATGTGACGTTGTTGAATCTGGCTTCCATCCATTGTGATGTAAGGCTTGCCTTTTGCCTTGTTGCAGGGCTGCAGTTGCCAGAAGACACAACTTATGTGATGGATGTTCTGGAGGAAATGGGACCAAACATTGTGGAGCACTGCTACTGGGACTTTGGGGAGTGGTCAGACATGTGGAGACGATGGCGACATGTGGACGAGGGGGTGTCACTTTGGGTAATCCTTGTGCATGAGATGGCCATGTTTACCAGACCGCTGCTGCAGCTACATTGAAAGCCACTCAATGCTGCTGAACTGTGCATGTGTGCATGTACAGACATGGGTGAGGGAATGTCTTGCAGCAAGTGCTGATGACCCCCATTCTTGAAAGGAGGTAACTTGTGCTGCTTGGTGGCGATCTTGCACTTTCGGTGCACCATTGTAACCTGTTGATTTTCTTTGGTTTCCAGGATGCAATGCGGGCATTCTCTACAGATGAGTCGGACCTGCGGTGGTCACGATGCTTGGGGGAAATGGCAATAGAGACATCGTGCACCTGTGAAGCAGCCCTTGATGTTGCCTATGCTGAGGGTTGCCACAAGCTTACCAAACTAATGTCGACTGACTCAAAAGGAACCCTGAGTTTGCCTCACGATGCAGTTGATGGTGGACGGCTGAATCTCTGGAGAAACTACTGTGCCTTCTGCTGTGGCTGCCCACTCTACAAGAAGCAGAGTATGTTGTGCTCCTGGGCATGCGTTGGAGATGTTGTTCATATCAGTGCATTTCGTGGCTGCCAACGAGTACAAGTAGTATATCCAGCTGGGAGCCAGGGTGGGCACATACAAAACAAAGCGCTCACTGTGCGTGTACTGTGCTATTGGCTAATTTTGGTGGATATGCATGCTTGGTACTCTGTTTACTGACATTGTGGTAGCAGCTGGAATACAAACATCAGATTGGGCTGTGTGTGCATCGTGCGTGGTCAGAACACGCAGAGCAGCTCACTGCTGGCTGCCACTGGGGTTGAATGAACCGTGTGATGAATTTACACTGTGCCTGAGCAATCCAACCCTGACTGGAGGCTGGAGGCTTGGGTTGTAACAATCCATGTGGTTGCACAGTTTCACGAACAGAGGGAGTCCTGACTACAGCCGAGCTCTTCCGCTTGCTGGTTGTGCCTCTGACAGGCGCCCCAGTGGCCCATCAGCAATCTGCCATTTTGGCTTTGGGTCACTGCAATGCTGAGTGCTATGATGTCCTCTTCAGAGAACTCAGAAATGCTAGCAGCAGAGCCAACCTGAAGGCGAAGAGCAAGAGCAAGTTTGAGGAGGTACATTGCCCTTGCTGAGCATCAGTGTTCAGATCTGTATGGTCACATACAATAGAAGTGAAGGTGTTGCAATAGCAACGAATGCGAGATTGACATTTTGCAGCAGCACTTCTTATGTTGGGTAAAGGCACTTATTGTTGCTGCTGTCTGTGATCTGCTTTTGCTCAATTGGGACACAGGTCTCCATTGGAATTCACTGGCAGTGTCTCATATGTGCTGCATGCCCTTCCACCAGGTGCGACTGCACATGGCAAATGTGCTGCGAATTGTGGCTTACAGCATGCCACCAGGCACATTGAACAACAATGTCCTACGCAAACAGTTCCTTCTCTTCATGGACAGCACTGTCCACACACTTGTGAGCCATCCTTTGGATGGGCTTTACGATGTGCACCAGCTGTGCTACTGCCTGTGCAGCATTGCAGCATCCACTGCACTGGAACTCATTGGCAGCTCAGGGGATGGCCTCACTGCTGAAATGCGGAAGACACTATTTAACTTGTGCTCCCAGTGGTGTGCACCAGGCTACCCTCCAGGTATGCATTTGCATGTGTATTGTGTTGATGTGGAAAGGGCTGGAATAGCTGTCGTCCAAGAAAGCTAGGGCAGAAAATACAGCACATGGCAGCATATGCAGTGGACAGGAGCGTGTGAAGCCACTGGTACATTTGAGCAACTGCTGAACCGCATTCGGCTTTGCAACCAATTGCATAGGCTTTACCTTTCAGAAATAGGTAGAAGAAATGCCATTTGAAAAGCGATCTTGAAGAGCCATCTTGTCAAGGATTTGAAATGTCTTGCAAGTGTTGGATGTGTGTGTCCAGAATTGCAATGTCTTGCTGCTTGCAACCCACTGCTGGCGTTCTTGTTGGATACTTACTTGGTGGCTGCTGGCACACAAATTGGGACATGTGCTCAACTGGACCTAAACAAATTCTGTTCATGGGCATTCATTCAAGCATCCGATTGCCTGTAGGTACCTACCAACAACAGCGACACTGGTTATTGCCATATGCTTCATTTCCCCTTAGGTGCCGTTCAGCTCATGCATATTGTGCATAGTGCTGGCTTTCGCTATACACAGAATACTGATAGTGAGTTGTCATTAAGACATCAGAGTGCATTGGACTTCACTATGGATGCAGGCATGGGCAGAAACTGTGCTGCTTTGTCATATTACAGATGCGTTGGTTGCAATTGTCGATGTGCAGGCGCCAGTTCGTGTCTCAAAGCATGTATGTAAGATAGTGCTGCATGTGCTTGCCTCCTTGGTGCTGCCAAGCTGCGGGATCACCAATGTTTTGGTTGTTTGCAACAGGGAGGTACGAAGAGGACATGAAGTATTTGAAGGCTGCTGTACTTGCCAAAGTAAAGGACACTGGCTCCCAGAAGGAGGTTGAAGACGACTTTGCACTGAGCTGCAGCCATCTTGAACATGCAGCCCGAACAGCAATGGTGGCTATGCTTCAGGTAGTCAACGTGCATTTGCATGCTGCTTTAACAGCACTTCCTTTGCTCTGGTTTCTGGAGATCCACGCTCATGCTACTCGGAGTTTATTTCGATATTGGAGTTTTCTTGCGCATTTGGCATCTGGTTTGTCGCATGGGCATTTCCAGCATCATTTTCGACTGAGTTTCGTTGCAGACTCCCCTTCATGCTGCGCTGTGGCTTCAGCAGGGTGTAAATGGAGACAGTTCATGTGCTGACTGATACATGTTCTGCGGTGGTCGCCTAGGGCCCACTCTTCGACAATGATAAGCGCTTGACTGGAACATCGATTGGAACATGGATAGACTATCTAATGACATCAGGGCGACCCAATGATGTCCGTTTTGGGCCATCAAAGTGCAGCATTGCTCGACAAGCTCTTACAAAGCTGCTGGTTTCTAACCTGTTCCTCTTCGATCCTTATGTTGACCAATGCTACAGTGCAAACTCTGTGGTTGCAACCGTCTACTTTCAGGTGAGCATACTGCAGTGTTTGCCAGTTCCTGTGAGTGTGTCTTTTTGTCTACACCTCTGTACACAGTTTTGAAAAGGTGTAATTCCTTGTTGCAAGCAACAGGGCAAGAAATAGGACACAAGCGCCGCCCTATTGGATATCTACAACAGACAGTGTCAACCCCCTATCCCACCTTTCGGCATTGTAGAACCCTTGAAAAGGTGAAAGCTGTTCAGACTGCCAGCCACTTGGAATTGCGAACAGTTGCTGATGATGCACTGTGATATGTGTGAACGCTGCAGTTGGTATTGGAACACAGACACCAGGACACCTTACTTGTGCCTTTACAGGCTTTAGTGTTTGGACTTTGACCATACTGGAGATTATTACTCTTGCAGTGTCTTCCTTCAGGAAATGCTGCAAACCAGTGCCTTTGCGTGGTGGCTTCGCTGTGTAGAATGAAAAGGGCTCATGGCCAAGTCAGCTGCTGTGAACTGTGGATGTCCTTGTGTTGCTGGTGGGGGTGATGAGGACCTTGCCACCATAGTGCAAACCCTAGAAGGGGTACAATCGGTGGTTGAATGCCTGTGTTTTACAGAGCTGTGCTGCCACACAGGTCATTTGCGAAGTCTACTGCAGCTATGCAGATGTTGATGGGAAGACAGGTGTTTTGTTGAGTTTGGTCCTTTACAAAGCAAACGACGAAGAAAAGGAGGTGGGCATGTGCACACAGGAGACACAAACCAGCAAATGCCATGACAGCAGGCCTGCCACTGGCATGTTTCCATTGATGTCTTGAGGTGCATTGGCAGACAGAGCTCTCCGTATCTGTGTGCTTAAGTGGCGTTTCTGGAACAACCGGGTCAATGGAATCCTGGAATGTATGAGGGACAAGTACAGTGATGCGACTGGTGGTGCATGTAACTGAGATCGATACCTCAAATGCCCTTGTCAGTGGCAAGAGCCAAATGGTTTTGATTTTACATGCGAAACTTGGAGCTTGCTGAGGCTGGTATGTCCAGGGAAGCAACAATTGAGGCTTGTTGGCCTGTTTGGATGCAGGTCCGGGAAGATGCCCTTCACCTGCTGAAAGTCATTGCTGAACGCGAGTGGAATGGTCCAATTGGTGTCGGATGGTCTGTTGGCTGTGGTGGTGATGTCATGCTCAACAATGCTGTGGTGTTGGGGAGCGTTCAGGATTCTTGTCAATGCTTTCAATACCAGCTGTCTGAAACACTTGCAAGGTGCGACTGCTGAAAGCAAGAAAATACACCCAGGCTTGCCGAATTTGGGCTCATATTGCCAAACAGTGTGCTGCTACTTTGTTGCTAGCTGATTTTATATCCTGCTGCTTGTGCGTTGCCCCTGGCACTCATCGCTGTGTGAAAGACTGTTTTCCTTTTAGGGAGCATCCTGAAGTGAATGAAGAGCTCTGCGTGGAACTCATGACCAGGCAGCTGTCTTCAGCAAACCAGCAGGTGAAGAGCCAACGATCCAAAGGGCCCTTGTTGTGTGGACAGGCCCAGCCCTTTGGTGCTTGGGGATTCCTAAACGCTGCAGTACGCAAGGGGAGGGGATGTCAGCTGTGGTCCTCTCAGGGGGACATGCTTGGGTAAAGCAGATCAGTGGCACACACATAGGAGCACTATACTTAGTGGCATACTTTGCGCCGATGGCACACGCACTGGAGCAGTGCTGCTGCTCTTGGAGACACAATATTCCCCTGTGTGCAGCAACCTCATTGCTGAGTTTCACCTTTTTGAGATGCTTTGGTGCACAGGGTGCCCTTGTGCTATGCTGCTGCTCACCTCTGTGCGGTTTGTGTGTGCTTGCAGGTGCTGCTGTGTTTGATTCCATGGATGGAGAGACTGTCGTTTTCTTCACGATGGGAGGGTGAATGGAGTGAGCGCCTGTTGAAGAGCATGTACTATGTGACATGGAAGCATGGAAAGCAGTTCACATATGAAGTTGAAAAGCTCTGGAGTACAGTGTCCAGCAACAAAGAGAACATTGTCCCAATCTTGGACTTCTTGGTCAGTTTTGGAATGAAGGAATGTGCATCACAGGTACCAGTAAACGTGCACTGTCAACCGTAGAGCTTCGTCATTGACCTGCAATTCTGTGGCCAAAATACTCTGTGAGAAAAATGTCATGGTCCCATTTTTCAACGTAATCTGATCTTGCGAGCTGGTATGTTATTTTGTTAGTGCAGGATGCAACTGCATTCTAGGTGTTTTATGTGCAGATTGGCCTGTGTACTGGTGGTGTGCTTGACATCAGTACCAATCAGCCTCTCAACACCCGTATGACTTTTGCATAGTGCGCGCATACTCTTTGTTGCTTCCTGTGGATTGTGCATTGCCACTGTACAACACTGTATTTCTATTTATTGCACTGTAATGGCACTATATTTGTTTGGATATATACTTCACAGCAAAAAATGTCAATCGGTGGTCAGTAGTCTTGCTGAACATGTACCTGGCTGAGTCGAGCGGTTGCCTCAGCTGTAGGTTGCCTGAGTGTTGGATATGAGTCTGCCAGCAGGATAGAGTTGTTTGCAGTCATTGACTTGATTGCAAGTACCCTTGTGGACAGATGGCACAATGCAAGTTCTGTGTGGGTTCAACGTCCCTGAATATGTGTCCCTGAATATGTGAAGTGCATTGTATTGTCTTGTGCTTTGGATGGCACACAGGCATGCTTTGCTTTTCTTGGTGTTTCCCTTGTTGGATGTTTGTGTTCACATGGCTGTTTGTTACCTCATGGCTCTTTGCACACACTATGCAGGACAGGCTGATCACCTCAACTGTGTTGAGGGTGTTTGCTTGTGCCTTGTTAGGCAAGGCTGGCAACATCCTTTTCCCCCCAAGTGGACACAGCTGAGCTTTGTTGTCCACTGACCTTCCCTTTGTGCCTTTGTTAAAGGATGCAGAGACGTTGCTTCAGTATTTCAGTGTCCTCAAGCGCATCAGCTTGTACCTTGCACGCACATCACCACAACGAACTATCGATCACTGGGTGTCAGAGGCATCCCAGATGATCCAGTCTGAAGATGAGCTTGGCCAGGAAGAGGAGGACAAAGACAAGAATATGTCGGCCCTAAAATTTTCAACTCTAGATCAGCGTGGTGGTTTGCTGGAGCTGGCTCCACAACGGCTGGACTCCATAGTGGCAGCTCCTGAGAGTGCACACCCTTCGTCTCTGAAGTTCAGGGATTCTCAGGATATTCCACCTTTCAGTGTTCAGTCAGCCACGTCACCTTGGTCTGATGGCTCTGCATCTTCCTTCAGATCGGCCACAGACTACCCACTTCTGCCATCATCATCTCTGAAGCGGTGGGTACCTGCCTTGCGTGTGGCTTGTTGATCCTCCTGAGTAACAGCTGCTATGTTTGTGCATTGGCCATTCAACTGGCGAATCTGTAAAAGCACATGGTGGTTCATTCGGATACCTTGTTTTGTAGGTTTTGTATGTGCACCATGAGCCTCCATGTATTTCCCCGAATGGGCAAACTTGCACAAATCATTTTCCAACACAACATTGGATTGGCATGCCAAAACTGTGGCAATGTTGTTGCTCTGGTTGTAGACAGCCCTTCACTGTTGTCTATTGTTGCAAATGACCAAGTACAATCAATGGTCAATGCATTGAAGTCATGCCACGTTTGTCATGCCCACACTTCCGTTCCTTGCTTCCCACAGTGACATTCTGACCTTAACTCCCAACACTGTGCCGGCTCAACCCTTTGTTTGTGTTGTTCAGCTCCACCTCAAATATCTCTGCTCCAGGAAGTGACCGTCGAGGGAGCGAGGTGTCAGCACCTTTTCTAAAGGGGTTCCTGACCCAGCCAGAGCTTGCCCTTACCCTGTTAGTGGAGGTGGCGTTCGAGCATGGAGAAAAGTTCAATGAACACCTACCAGTATTGTTCCACATTGCTGTGATCTGCATGGACAGCGTCAAGCCAGTTGTCAGGCTGCACTGCCAACAGCTAATTGTCAATTTGCTCAATGCTCTTGCAAAGCAACAGTTGCGTGCAACAAAACATCCAGAGCAGAATGCGAAGCTTGCCAAGGTGTGCCCCCATTCTTGAACTCAGGTGCTTCTTCTGTTCTTGCCGGACTTTATGTTGGCCTCTTCGGCAACATAGATATGCCTACCACCAAGGTACTGCTTGTGCACACAATAGTCACATAACAAACTGTGTACAATACGTGGTGCTTGGCACAGTATTGCACGAATTGACAACACTTGTACTTTGGGGAATCCGTATGCCAGTGGTATGTGCTGCTAACGCCATGTGTGAAAGACGTAACAAACCAGCTGTAGGGGAGGCTGTTAGTGATGTCAGTGGGTACAAATTTGAGAATGTGTCCATAATGAAGTCTCTTTGCTGACCATTCAATGTCACTTGTGGTAGTTGGCTGCATTGATCAGTTCTCTTCAGTCCATGAAGGGGCAGCCATTATGGCCCCATGAAGATGTGGACTTGCGGACAGGTGGACTCAGCAGTGAAGATGCAGTGAGCGAATTTGTCAATGCCATCTTGAGTTGCAGCAATGATGAGTCCACGTTGAGGACCCAATGGATCCAGGAGGCCTCTACTTGGGCTGTAGAGTGTCGACACCGGCATGCAGCTTGGAGATCCCATCAGGTACGACCCATACAGTCAGATCCACTATGCTTGAGAGGCAGCTAAATGGCATGCAAGCTGTTTTTGCTTACTGGTGATGTCAAGGAATGCCTGTAGCTATTTGTGTTGTGGAATCAGAGAATGTTTGATGCTGGTTGCTACCAGACACCTTGTCCGGCCATCGAAGCCTGACAGCTTGTTTAACTTGATTGACAAATCAGGTTTTGCGAGCTCTGCAACCGGCACCCTCCAGCGAACTGTTCCTCAATCTCTTGCAGTGCTTGAAAGCATGCTTCTCAAGCCCCACAGCAGCCGCAATGCAGAGTGTTTTGGAGCTTCTCAGGACACTGAAGGCAAGTATACATTTGGCAACTTTGAAGGCTGCTTGCAGTGCTGAAAATGCTGCTTGGTGAGCCATCCAGAGGCTCGCCTCTGAAACATGGCTTGACAACCGGGATTGTTGTTGGTCAGAATGTTTACCAGATACTGATGGGACAGCAGGTTCCATCATGTTATGTTGGCAGGGCAGCCTGGCGCTGAGTAAAGCGATATTTTTCTTCCTATGTATGCTGCTGTTCTTGCAACATCAAGAAAGAAAATTACAGTGGGGGGTATTCTGATTCGTTTCACGGTCATGCAGCTGTTTTTGCCACGCACCTAGATGCTCACAGGCATTTTATGCTCCAAGTATTATGGGGGAAAGGGCGTCCAGTGTTTGCTTCAAGGGGGGTTCAAGGATCGTTTGCAGTGGACAGGGCTTGGAGAGGCGCTGTCATGAACAGGTGGATATGGCAGTGTGCAGGGGAGCACCAACTAGGTCAATTGGTGTCGCCTGAAGTCAGCATCGAGACCCAATACCTAGGATGCGGTGCCAAAAGGTTCCTGTTGGACACCAGTGTGGTGGTTGATAGCGTGTGCGACATATATATTCAAAACAGAATTCAATGAGAGCCTGCAACATGCACTGACGCAACATTCTTATGTGGTTGCAGGCTGTTATGAGCAGGCTGCCACCGTCCAAGATGGTCCTTTATCCACAAATCTTCTGGACATGTGTTGCGCTGTTGCCATCTGATTACGTCCACATCTTCAGGGCCTCAGTTGAAGTGCTGCACTACATGTTGCAGTGCTCCAGCCTCAGCAATGACATCATTTTGAACGTCCTTCTTGCCACAGCACCAACGTCCGCACACAATGCCCCGATTTTGTACTCTGATGCTCTTCCAGCAGGACAGGTAGAGGGAGCCATCTATTCCCAGGACTACACTTGGTCTCATACTCTGCAACAGTGGGCCATTGGGGCTCAACTGTTGCTCCTGGAATCAGGTAATGAGCAATCACCTGTTCTGTGCTTGCAGCAACTCCTTTTGAAAGGAGTGTGCATGCCAGACATTCAGACCAGCACCCTTGTGCTGATCACACTCCTGGCGAAGCAGATGGCACAGAATCCCAGTGGTCTGTTTGGCCCGCTGAACATGATGACAAAGAATGGGGAAGACCATGAGGCAAGTGTGGAGGTGCATGTGGATCCTTTCAGGACTGCATTTTCCAGTGTGTTGGGCGACCTTCATGCCCAGCTATTCACGTCGTTGATGGGGATAGTTCCATGGATCTGTGTTGCTATCTGCAACCAAAATCGAGAGCACATTGCTGAGGCATGTGAGGCACTGGCACGTGCTTGTGACTATAACAAATTTGACGGCATTGGGGCAACTGTCATGGCCTTCATTGAGACCGATGCTCAGGGACTGGAGAGCGCAGTGCAGGATTTCTGCAGTTCTCTTTGCGAAGAGGCTCCTGCCATGTGAGTATCGTGTTGGCGACAAAAGCACACGCTACCTGGGTGGAGTGCACGAGGTTGTGCATGGTCACAGCGCATCAAAGAACAGTGCGCTACTTGAATTGTGCAAAGGCACCATTACAGTGAATTCTGTGCCAGGCAGAGAACAGAAGCCAGTGTTGCTGCCAGAATATGACAGCGCATAGGGCTGCCGAACAGCTGCCGAAATACCCTGCGTCAGGATCGACAGGGGCTGTTTGCGAATTGGAACAGTACTTCCCTCCCAAGGTTATACAAGATGAAGAAGCTGCAGCATCACGTAACCCCCGCTGTGACTGCGACAGCCCCTCACGCTGACATTATCAACTGGAGATTGTAGACGGTTTTCTGTATCCTGTGACCAAGAAGATGCTCTCCAGTGTAGAAGCGAAGTTGTCTGCAAGACAAGCTGCGTTTCATTTCAGGGGCAATGTCTGCCGCTTGGCTTCCAAGTCGCATTTGCGTGGTGTGTTGAATTGAGTTGCCAAGGCCTGAGTCATTCGCACACTCTGGAAAAGCAATTTGTGTCCACAAAGGGCAGTACGCTCTCATATGTCAGAAGCAGCGCACTTCGTAGATGCTGGCTGACTAAACAACAGCCCAGGAAGTGCTGTGTGCTGAGGCGGATATGTAGCCACTGGGGCCTGTTTGACCTCAGGCGAGGGGCAGGGTCTTGCTTGTGATGTTCCTTTTGTGTGGTCGTTCGCAGGTTCATTTGTGTGATGGTTGGGCAGTGGACGTCCTTGGTGCAAAACAGCGACTTGACCTATGCTCGTGTGGGCATGACACTCCTGGGCGGTGTGTTTGCGAGTAGAGGTCGGGGAGGACTCCAGAGCAATGCGGCTGCCATTGCGGACCTGGCAGTGAATTCCACACTGTTTGCGGCACTGGGTGCTCACTTACAGGTGCCTGAACTTCCTGAAATTGCTCCTATTGATGTTCGCGTCATTGTCGAAGGTGTCTTGGAGCCAACACCGACTGCGTGCGTGCATGTATGCGCACTCACGACTCTGGCACTTATGTGCGCCCGGTTGAGACGCTGGCGGCATGCGCCAGGGTTCCATCCCAGAACGTTCATTCCCAGTCGACCTCACATTTGCAATTTTGGTGCGCAGGGGAGCCTCAACCACGAAGCGAAACGCGTTTTGTCCTCCATGGTGTCTTGTGCCAGCGGCCAGACAGCTGTTGAGGATGGGCCCCAATGGGCAACTGCCCTGGAGATTGGGTTGCAGCTGCAAACTAGCACTGTCTTCAACACAGAACAAGTGGTTGCCGCCCTCAGTGCTATGCTGGAGACATGCCCTCAGCACTTACGAAAGAACAGCCGACGTGTGGTGATGCCCTTCGTATCTCCGAGTGCCCCAATGTCTGAGCCAAGAACCTCCGGGCAAGTGAGGTGACAGAGTTGAAGGCCTGCCCTCCCAATGGGTGCCACATCCCTGTGGCAGCACAGGTGACTGACGAGCAAACCGAATGCCGAGTGTGCACGGAACCTGAACGAGCGTTTCTGGATCGTGGCGTTGCGCAGTGCATGTAGGACAAGCCCAGAGCAGTGCTCTCGCATGGTTTGCCGTCCATTCCAATGTACAATTGTTGAGATTTCGATTGGTAGGAAAGTCTTGGATGCAGTGTTTGGCAGCAGGCGCTCTTCGAACACCACTGTTTCAGGAGAAACAGGTACTGAGAAGAACTATGCCGCTTGTAGTACAGTCGCAATAGTAAGCGTTTGCGCCCCACTGGCGTCATTGTTAGCACTACAGCTCAGGATGATGTGCGCGTGTTTGAGCACTGGCGGGGACAGGCACAAAGGTCCAGTGGAGGTAGCAGGAGGGAAGCAATGCCGTTGGATGATTCTCTGCTCCCCAAACCATGCAGGGAATCCTGCAGTGGTATTAAAAGGGCCAGTGGCACTGTCGTACCCATGGGTTGCTGCTCAAGTTGCAGCTTCTTGGGCTTAATGTCAGCAGAACATCAGCGTGAGGTAGTTGGCCAGCTCGGGAGCACTCTATCCCCCCTCAGGCGCAAGCTACTTGGGCGCAGTTCGTCGTTTATGAAGCACCAAGAACAAGAAATATTTGCATCGTCATATTGTGTGCTGCGGACAAAGACTGCCATCATATGTCTCCCTGGTCAGTCCGAGGCCAGCGCACAGGTTCCCATATGACAATGCCCCCACATCGCATTTGCCCCAGTGCCATTAGACGCAAATATTGGAGTTGCCAGTGCACGTCAGTGCCTAATACTTGGACACAAGAGGTGCCCCATGCTGAACAAGTCTCAAATTGCACGTATCTGCACCTCGTCCATCTCGCATCAAGCGTAATGACAGGGAGGTTGCCATGTCCAATTATGTATGATGAGCTTGAATCTGAGCCTAGAGAGGGAGGGGAGGGGGAGGACTCGAGAGCTGTGTTGCTCAGAGATTATGCAATTGCCAAGAATTCGACAAAAGTTTTGAAGAAGCACATATAGTTAACTCCGTACCAAATAATATTGAATCTAGCAAATGAAATTGAAGCTAGTACGAAATAATATTGAATCTGGTACCAAATTGCGGAAGTACCAAGTAAAATTGAAACTATAAGTACCAACGTATATTGAATCTGGTACTATACTCGCGCCGGGACAAAAAATGTTGAACGGTGTACCAAAAATGTTGAATCAGTACCAATTAGACGTTGAATGGCAGTCTGCGACCAGTATTGGGCTTGCACTTGTTGCAGGGTTCAGGGTGTAGGGTTTTATGAGCCCTTATGGCGGTGGCGATTTGACGACTAATTGGTACTGGTTCAACAGGTTTTGGTACACCGTTCAACATTTTTGGTACCAACACGAATTTGGTTCCAGATTCAATGTGTGTTGGTACTGGATTCAATTTCATTTGGTGCATGGGTAGTTTGGTACCAAGTTCAATATTATTTAGTGCTACTTTAAATTTTATTTGCTACGAGGGCAGTTTGGCACCAGATTCAATATTATTTGGTACAGAGTTAAATAGGTTCCGTTTTGAAGCTGCCCAAGCGCCACTGATTAGTAGCAAACAAAGTGTGGCATGTGCCAAAACCTCCCTTCAATATAACATTCATGGACGGCCCCATATTGTCTCAAGTAACAGCCTTCGGGCTGCCCCATCGCCTCCTATGGCTGTTGGCATCCTTCTTTTAACCCCACTGCCAATTCTGCAGCTCTGAGTTATTCCTTTAAAACGTTGTGATGTTGTGTAGTGTTAATGGTAATGCTGCTGAGTCATCCTGGCATCGACGAAAGGTAAAAGGCCAGAGTGGGGGAAAGGGGGGAGGTCTGATCTTTGCATACTAAAATCGACACAGTGTCGTCCCTTGGGCAGAAAGGTTGAGGTGCCATTAGTCAAGATGATGGGGCGACGTTGCAGTGCTTTGTCATTGTTGGAATGTTGTTCAAGCAAGGGTTGCACCGTCCCCTTGTTGGTTTCAATATTGAGCAGGTCAAGAATGGGAAGAGCGGCCAGTAGCGGCCATTACCATCGTCATGCCTGTTGATGCATGTGGTGTTTGTGTCACGTGTTGCCCCCCCTCTCCTCAATGGAACGAAGAGAACCAAGTTGCGCAAACTTACAGACAGTCACATTGTAGCGGATTGTACTATATCCTTTATCCATGCACTCCTACGGTGGTTGCGATGCGGTAGTGTGCCAGCCTGCGGCTGCCACCATCGATGGTGAGCAATACCAAAGAAATTACAGAGCATACAAATACCCCTCATACAATCAAATCCCCTTCAATGTCACCTCGTACGTTTGTCGGTGGATCTGCGCACAATCAGCCAGCCTGCTTCGTTCATTCATGTTCAATTAATCCAAATAAAACACAGAAAGAATAAACGCAAATGCTATTCAACTGCATTGCCGGGCTGCACAAGTGGATGCACATGACACCCAGCAACAGTGTGCCAATCCGGTACCAAGGATGGGATATGTCGGCTCACTCTGCTCAGTGCTTATTGATTGCTGCAGATCATCCGCCCCCTCTGACGCGGTCACACCCTGCTGGGAACCGCCCAATTTCAGTCTGCTCGGGAAGTTGCCCACCTGAAAACCCGCACCGAATTCAACAACAGGCGTGACTGCAACTGCGCGCACCTGTGCTCGCCCATCTTTGCGTCAAACCGAAGCAAACCCATGTTCGGCGACGCGACTGGCAGCGCCTTGACCCGGACTTCGGACTCCTCGTGTTGGCAAGCGCCGTTAGCCGGCTGTCCTAGTATAGCCCATGCCGGCTGAGCCCCTCCAGGATCCCCTTGGCCAGCCGCGCTTCTGTGTATATAACTCTCTCAGCCTGCGGTTGGTGCAGAAGCCACTCTCGAAGCCCATCCTGGGCGTTGCCAACAACGATAGCGGGGTTCTCGCCTGCAGTGGAATCCACCAGGGGCCCCTCACATCCACCACAACTTTATATGGCTGCGGAAGGGGCAACGCGTCGAATTTGTCACGCTCAATTATCAAAGAAAGCACTGCAGGAGAGGACCCTGGCGCTGAAAGTTGCGCATTGCCTATCCACACAAGCCCAAAAAGAGGCCTAAGCCATCCCTCGCACTTGTCCAACAACACCCATGAGCATTCAAGTGGAAGCCAGTGTTCACGGATGAAAAGAAACAACTCGTGTTCCGGCAGTTCCGCAGTAAATTCTGTGGCTGCAACACGCGCTTGGGTCGCGTTGCCAACTGGCGTCATCCATTGCCACAGGTCACCAATCCTGATCACGCAATGGAGCCGGGCTTTCGGTCTTTCGACACCCAAGCACAGGCTATGAGTCGACATCTACGCAAGGACTGACGCCAAGAAGAAGGGTCTCCAACCTCAGCGCCAATTGGCGTTAGCAAAACAAACGTGCCGTGAGGGCAACCCTGACGAAGGGCTAGAGAACACGCAAGACGAACAAAGGTACAGACACATCAGCACACCAGCGGGCATCGGTCATCAAGCAGCGGTTGCTGTGCTCGTCGTCGCCTCAACAGCGTATGGGCCTTGATTTGTCATATGTTATTGACAAATGCAGGAATTCGCACCAGCTGAACCGACCGTTTTGTTTTTCGTACCGTTGAGCATCAGAATGTCATTGCCCGAGTCGCCAGCAGCCACACATCTTCCACGGGCAATGCCATAAAGCCGACGAACAAATTCCAGCGCCTTGAGCTTGCCTCCGTTTTTAGGGACGCAGTCCACATATCGCCACTCACCCGCTCCGCTGCAGATAGTTTGCACCTGTGGACAGCACCCACAAAACAAGGATCCTGGTCAACGATGCCCATTGGCCATTCGAGCAACGTTACTCAGCGCGAGCTGTTGCTAGAGTGCATAATCAACAATCCAGACATCGGAGCACAAACCTGCAGTCCATTGTGCAGCAGCCGCTGGCCAAACTCCTCCACAAGGGCGTCCACAACACGAATATGCACGCGCAGTGCAACACGATGGGGATGCTCTGTCCCATTGTCCAACCACTCAACAGCGCCTTCATTCCCGAATTGGCGAACCAGTTCTTCTGCCACTGTTCTTACAACGTCGAGGTCCCAGTCCTCATCGAGGAGCCCCCTGTACGCAGTGTCTTCGTACCACACTGACCCAGATGCCATCACGCGGCCACCTTCGTCATCGCTCAGATGGAAAATCTGCCCACATCGATAATGCTTTAATCCAAGGACCACCAGCCGCCCCTTCAACGCACTCGCTACTGAAACGTGAACTACGCAAAGAGGCTCCTGTCAAGTACAGGCAGTCCAGGCACAAGGCACGAACTGCAACTTGACTGAGAGGGTACACATGCCTTGCGCTGAAGCCTGACAGCGCTGAACCCCAACTCCGCCCGATTATTGTCGCTGTCAGTCAGCTTCGTGCTGAACAAAGATGGGGGGCTGGGCTATGTGTGCTTGGAGCTCGTTTAGGAGCTAGTTACTGTCAGCTGTCTTCCGCGAATCACAGCCAGTTCATCACAGCCAGCCACTTTCATTATTCGCAGCCTGTTTTGCGAAGTGACCTGCCTGGACTTGGAACCTGTTTTCTTTAAGCTAATTGACCCTGACTCTCAAACTCTAAGACCTAAAAGGCACAGCAACCTAAAAATACTTAGCACGAACGGGTTGTAGTCACCCACCCAGCAAAGTATTCTTCGAGAAACGGATTGCGAACGCCCCAAGAGGGGCTGCGGATACCGACCGAAAAACAGGCTGAAAATACTCAAAAGGAGCTGCCAAACTTATGTTCCTAAGTGGTGTGTGCAATACACGTGCGTCTTCCAGTTTCCAATGCTGCAACGCCCCACAAGTGTTCCTGGAGGCAGTTATACAACCTGTCTCCTCGCACACGCAACTCGTACTGCACTTGCTGTGCCAACACATCAGCACCACCACACTTGAGAGCAAACAACCTGCGCCCTCTGGGTGGATGTAAGAGGACACCAAAGTCCCATGCAGGCCGCTGCCAAACATGCATGGCACAACCAAAGTGCACAGTGCGTACATCACCTTTGTGCCCACTGCTGTTATCACCACGTCTGGCATAGCCAGCGCTCCCTGTTTCACGTTCAACAAGCCAATAAACTGACCAAGGGACCTGCCAGTGTTGTAGACCAGTTTGGAGCCACACAGGGCAGCGACGTTTTCCCAATATTCGCAGAACTCTGCCATGGCACTGTCTGCCTCAGTGCTGCCATCGTCCACCATCGTCCCATCAAGGTCGCTCACCTGCAGAGCAAAACATGGTGAACGACATCCATATTCGTGCAGTGTGACGCAGGAGTTTCTTCACATTCATGGCGTCACACAGCAGCACACATATCTCCCTGGTAGGTCACATTCTTCACAGCCCACGTAGAAGTGACGTGCATCATGCCACAGGCAAACAGTTGTGATGCTGAACAGACTGCTTACCAGCATGATGGGATCCCGCGACGCTCGTGGAAAAGGCTTCAGCTGCCCGCGTTGCAGTTTGTAGCCCCCAAGCACAGGGCAGACATACCCTTCACCACTCGGATGCCTATCCTCATGACCGTCACCATCAGAAACCACGAACTCAAGTTTGGACTTTCCTTTTGTCCGTGGGCCAGCAGGTACAATGCCCCGCCACCAAGACCCACCGTCAGGCTCTGCTCGGCTTTCAGTCCTCCACAAAGGAATCTTCTCCCAGTCCTAAGTGGGCAAACATCTACTGGTGAGGGGGGCATTAAAGCGATATTGACAAAATGACCCCATAGGGATGCTCACAGGGGCAACTGTGTCGATCCTATCCAGCCCTTTCGGAGTTGACAGTACAACCACGGAAACAAAGGCTGGCGCCAGCAATATCATAGTCTGGTACCAAGTTGAGGCGCTAACCAACAGGCTGCCTGTGCAGTGTGCGAACCCCTTCCTATGCACATCAAAGCAGGGCCGAAGAGTGGGAACATTATGTATTTTTCCAGGGGAGTAGCCACACAGCTCAAACTTCCAAACAGTTAACAAGAGACTGGCCAGAATGTGAAATGATGGAGCACAGAATTGCATGCCAGCAGGTATTAAAAAACGTAGCACCTCTTGAATGCACCATAGCAGACAGGCTGGCTCAACAGCACTTCTGAAAACTTGACATCCTGCACATTTGTGCGCCGTCCGGAGACTCCTTTGTGTACTGACACTACAGCATATGATTCAAAGATATACAATCCCTCTCATACAACTCAGCCCACCTCAACCAAAGGTCTTCCGTCATCGTCGATTGATCGCACATGCAGCACAGGGGTTTGCCAACCCGTTGCATAGTATATGCAGTATTCCATGTGCTCCACATGAACCTATGCAACAAAAGGAAAGTGTAAGCTTGACATCTACAATGCACACTCTTGTGCTGCACAAACTCACCATGAAGCACTTCTTCCGGCCCACGGCCCCATGATCCTATGCCTACCTGTGTCTACTGACAATCGTGGATCCAGTTGAGAGCTACAGCTGAAAACAGGGGATTGCCAACAGCCAAATGCCCTCATGTTTTATTCCATTCAATGGTAGCACAGGAAACTCACTCTTCCAAGCCAACCCATTGCCCTGCCTACGCTGCAGGGCTTTGGGCATGCTGTGTGGCTGCTGGCGTCACCATGACCATAACGATTTATATCACGTAGCATATGCTCCACATACCAATATCACAGAAGCTCCACTCACCTTCTGCTCACAAACAACAACTTCATACAGCAAATGTGCATTCTTAATGATTTGATTTCAATGGATACACCTTCTGCAAGCAGGGGTTCTTGATAATTCAGCTACCTTAACCATATTGTCAGTCCTTAACACTGCAAATCTAGGGTACATGTGGCCACTCTGGATGGCATTCCTGTACAGTCCCAAGCACCCAAATCTGTGTTCCATTCAGGGTAATGGATCGCAAATCCTTCATGGGCAGCACAGCAGAGTGATCAGAGCTGATAACAAACCTTGTTCTCCATTCAGCCACTAATCCATCTGAGTTTCTTCAAAACAGCAATCTGTGCTTCAGAAGCACAGCTAATGGCCAAATTGTGGTCTCCAGTCCGTGCACTTGCAAATATTGCAAAACGCACTTGATGAGCAGCACAGGGACCTTTTCCTGGCAGGCATCTATCCACCTATTCCATGCTAGCAATGGCCTAGTCGATGTTCTCTTCTGGTGTTGTTTGTGAAGTAGCTGTTCTTACCAAGTTGCAGAGGTGCCCATTGGAGTCCTTGGTGACATTTTCGGTTGGTAGAGTCCGCCACTTCCCGTCCACCAAAAACTGGTACCTGTGATCACCAGGCTGTGATGCATGCTAGAAGTCAGCACAGGTCTCAGGCGCAGTTGCTGTTACTGCATACAACATTTACCCCTTAATATCCACAACCCACATCCCCTATACATGAAATATCCATTTTCCAGCAACAAGTCACTCCTTCAGCAATATGTGCCTGCACAGCTGCAACACAAGCCATTACAAAGGCAGATTGTGATAAATCAAAGTGGCAAGTAAACGGCTTTGAGAGAGAATATAAGGTGGATTTCAAGGCAGGCGGCTGCATGCGGTTTGTCATTCAATACATAATCTGTTGGCCATCAACATGTGGATGACCATTCGTCGTCAACCTTGCTTTCTGGTAATATACAGCCATCGCGCGCTTGAGCACAATTTTTGCCAAGATGCAACGATGAGCAACGAACAGAGTGTTAACTGTGAAGTTTCCAGTGTGTGCGATGTCCCGTCGCAACCGCACCCACTGCATTTCCAGATTGCTTCTTGTAAT